CGTGCTTGGCGCTGGCGTTGATGCTGAGAATGGGCAATGGATTGGACCGTATTCTGGAATTGGCGCTGGCATTGACAGCTTCTTTGAATATGCCTTGAAGACGCACATTCTTCTGTCAGGGCACGATCTACCCAATGCAACAGTTATTCCACTCGTAGAGCCTGATCCATCGTGGCTTGATCCAAACACAATCTACAGTCCCTTGACTGAAGCGGAGAACTCTCCCGAGACCTTTCTAGCTGCCTGGCATGAAGCGCATGCTGCTATCAAGCGACATCTGTACAGTGGAATTCATCATCCGCATTATGTGAACGTGCATTTGAGTACGGGGTCTCCTCAAGCGTATTGGATTGATAGCCTTGGTGCATATTATCCAGGTTTGTTGGCGCTTGCTGGCGAAGTTGAAGAAGCCATCGAGACAAATTTACTCTACACTGCGCTTTGGACTCGATACGCAGCTTTGCCAGAGCGTTGGTCAGTTCGAGATGGCCACGTTGAAGGAGGTCTCGGCTGGTGGCCCGGTCGACCTGAATTCATTGAATCAAATTATCATCTCTATCGAGCAACCCGTGATCCATGGTATTTTTACGTTGGGGAGATGGTGTTGTCCGACATAAAAGCGAGATGCTGGACTGAGTGCGGATGGGCAGGTCTGCAAGACGTGAGGACCGGCGAGAAGAGTGACCGTATGGAAAGCTTTTTTCTCGGAGAAACCGCGAAATACCTTTACCTGCTCTTCGATCCGGACCATCCGCTCAATCGTCTTGACGCACCTTATGTATTTACCACTGAAGGCCATCCACTAATCATTCCCAAAGCCAAATCACCTGTCGTTCGAAGGAAGGCCCCAGCGACTAGGAGCATTCAAGTCCTCCAAAACAGCGAACTCAGAGATACTTGCCCATCCTCTCCATCCGCGCTTCCATTCTCCATATCCGTTACCGCGGCGAGGCGTGATATCTTTCATGCATCTAGCCTCATCAATCTACACAACATACCCAATTTTCGTACAGATGTAAAGGACCTGAAAGAAATAAGCTTAAATGCGAAAGACTTGCCGCAAGGAGTACAGCAAGAAGTCCGCGTTACCCCGAACCACACATATTACCCATCAACCCTTCCAGGATACCTTGTTCCGTCCGATGGGTTTTGCGATAAGCTACCACTCGGGCAGACATTTACCATCGAGTTCCCAGTAAGCACACCTATCAGTACCACAACGGGTCTTTCGAACTTCATGGCTTTTGGCCCTCAAGCACTCGTTAGACTGAACGAAGGAATTCTTATTAAAAGCCTGTCAGGACTACGACTCGGAATGGTTTACGAATCTCCTTCTCCTTATCGAGCAATCCATGGACCTCTTACGGACTCCTGGAGAGTTTGGAATATAGCTAATATGGCTCTCGGTCGAGATGAACAAGTCTTTATACCAAGAGATGTTATGGGCGATATGAATGATCCCTCGTTCACCCGAGTTCGAGACGTAGTGATGCTCGATGTCATTATACAGCTGGAAAATGATGCTCCGCAAGAGAACACTGCCGCTCCGACTGGTAGTTCCGAAGAGCTATATGATAACGACGATGACGATGATTATGATGACTACGAGGAAGAAGAAATGTCCAACAGGAAAACCCGCCGAGACTCATCGAGCGTGTCTAGCAAAAAAACCCACGATTCCCCATCTCAGTCTCAGTACAAAACGATGCTCTCCTCCCTTTTCCGTCATGTAACCTCCGTCCTTCGAGATCCAGCCGCAACGCTGGTTCCGCAGCCAAAACCCCAACCTACACTGTATCCATTCACCAAACTCCCTGCTATCGCTCCAACTGGTCTCGGCGCCGCAGGCGTCATCGACGTCCCAGATGCTCCTGACTCCTCAATTGGCCCTCAAACCGCCCCCTTGATCTGGAAAACAATCTTCTTCGCCGGTCAAGCCTGCTCTGGGAAACTCCCCGACTCCGCCCCCCGAAACCACGAAGTCATCATCATCCGCCGCGGCGGTTGCACCTTCCACGACAAACTAAGCAACATCCCGGCCTTCACACCCATATTCGCGTCCCTCAAACTAGTCATCATAATCGACCACGAAAAGGCCTCCGAAGAAGACGGGTTCCCCGAGGGTGCCGGCAGCGGTCTCTTCAGACCGTTGATCGACAAACGACAGGTCACGCCCAAGGGCGTTTTGAGGAGAGATGCGATTAGTATGGTTATGGTGTCTGGGGGCGACGAGACGGAGGCGGTTTTTAGGAGGTGTAGGAGTGTGGGGATTAGAAGGAGGTATCATGTTGAGAGTCAGGGGAAGGTGGTGGGGAATGTACATGTTATATAGATATTGAGGTCTTTGTGTCAACTTGAGTATATGGGGAGGATGGCGCGCTGTGGAAGGCGGGTGTAAATGAGGGTGGATTCTATATATAGAGTGGAGTGGCTTTTGGTTTTGATGATGTGATGGGGCGTGATTCCTTTTTATGTGAAGATAGATTGGGGTGCCGTGAGCGTATGTAATTACGTAGATACCTATACAAATCTCTCTCTCGTCGTTGGACATCTATACCTGTTGTCAAATTGACGACCGTGTCCTCGTGTCTGCGCGAGAACCGTCACAATCTCGAAACTGCGTCTCATTAGAAGAGGTACATCACTCTAACTTTAAATCTTTCCATGCGCAAACGGAGTTATGGTATATCTGCCCTGGAATTAGAGCTCAAATGCATAAAAGTACATGAGATTTGTAAATGATCAAATTGATTGGAGTTGTGTCTCTAAAGAGTGGTATATCGCTATAATGTACACCAAGTCCCCCGTCATGCAAACGCCAGTTTATGTACTCCTGTTCATGTGAGATTTTATTGTCCTGTCATCCTGTCGTTCATAAACATGTGCATCTTACCCTTAACACTATACCGACCATCGTGGCCATCCTGTACTTGAACGCCTTCATATACCGTTCATCATGCCCAAGTTTTCTTGGTGGTCTGACCATGACATAAGGGAAAGCTTGGAGTTTTTCATCACCACCAGTTACCCATACCACCCAAAACAGGCCCTCTCGTGGTGTCCATCATCTCTGCTCCCTGGTCAAACTGGAATCCGCGGACTAGATCATCCCAGCTTCGCCAATCAACGTCTGCTTCGACTCCGTCCATGTCCATGTCCTGCAAAGTTGCATTATCTAATATCCAAGAGCTCTGATTCGGTCCAAACTGGTGAGAAACTCCATTGGGGTCGAGTTGCTGGTACATCTGTGGGTCGATAAGCCCTTGGTCCGATGCCATTTCCATTCCATTCATCATTTGAGTGCCAGGTTGGTACAATGGGATATTCGTAAGAAACTGTGTTTCGTGGGCATGAGGATCGACTTGAGTAGGATCGCGCATCGTCATTCCCGGTTGTGCAAACGGCGTTACTAATTTCGACGGGTAACCAGAAGGCGTTGGTCGTAGGTTTTCCTTCGAGATTCCTAATTCTAAATGTATGCCATTCAAAGCCGCTGCCGCATTGTTTTCACCACGTCTTTTGCGAGCTTGGAGAGCAAGCTTTCTTAGAGGCCGCCACAACGTACCATGCTTGCCTTTAAAAATGTCTACGCCGCAGGCACCAAAGCAATTATCCACCGCTTGCCATGCACGTTTAACTATGATAGAGTTATCACGAATGGCCAATTCACCGAGTAGGTAGGCTATCGCATGCCACTGAATGTATGTTGCGAAGAGCCATCCCCACTTTTTAGTGCTTGCTTCAGCTTCCAGCAGTTGAGAATACTCCAAGATTTCGATCGAGGCCATAAAGAGCCGGTCTCGCGTGTCTGATGTAAGGCTGTCTGTCTTGTCTGGTTCAATAAGTGGATGATATAGAATTAGGGCCATCTTAGCAGCAATAAGTCGAGCAACTGTCGCTGCTACCCAGTACAATGGCCCAGCATTTTCGCAGTACTTGAGGTATGTCTTTTCCAAATGGGTTGTCTTCTCTTTGATCATCTCTTCCTTTTCTTCCAAAGTCAATGGCGGAGGCATGGGACCAGCAGGACATCCTCCGGGTGGGGAGTATGTTAGAACCCGTGCTAAGGAACAGATCTCGAAACGTATCAAGCAGAATGTCATCTCCGAGACTCCTTCCCGAGGCTTTACGGGCTCTTTCTGGCTCGGATCCAAATCCAAGTCGTTGCATGATGTGGGCAATTCTGTATCATAAGAAGAAGTCATGACAGAAGGATCCGAACCATGGTCCTCAGAAGCACGAACGTCTAAGATACACACCTGCCACCACAGTCTTCTTCTCATTTCCGTGTCGAACGGAGAAAGACCAAATTTAGCACCGTCTCGATGAAGGCCGAGAGACTGTGCAATGCGAATCGCAAGGCCCGTCATGGTCCAAACAAATCTCGTATCATCATGCCTGCGAACGCATATCAAAAAGAGCACGAGGGCTTGGATGGTGACAATGTCGTTTGTTTTCAAAAGATTTGCTCTTGCCAAAGCCTGCTCTGTAGCAAACCGGTACTGCCTAAGTAGAACGGTCTTGGAGATGCCAAAATTCGTGTTCACCTATGCGTTTTAGCCATAGTGGGCGGATAGGTCGTCACAAGTTTTACTTACCTCTTCTGCGGTCATGGACGTAATGGTAGCAAAGTATATTGAGAACATCAGAGCCTCGGTACTTTTGCTTAAGCTTTCCATATCGCTTTGAACAGCTTTTATAGTTTTGCTCATTGTGGGAGAATGAACAATCATCACTAATGGATGCACATTATCGAGAAAGGTCTGCCAATAGAATGGGATTTGAGATGGTAGAGGATGTAACCCTCGAAGGTTCACATCGGTGCTGCTGTAACCCATTATGAAGCCCTGGTGGCTTCCCGTGGTCTCTATTTCATCAGATGGCGTTGGTGAGTCTTCCTCGGATTCGAGACTTTGATCATACAGCAAGGCCCTGATCTCTTCTACCTCTTCTGAAACCTGGCTCCAAAACGGGTGTGACACATATCGACTCTTTCCTTCATTGAAGACAAGTCGCCCAGTTCCTCCGCCAGCCGTTTCGGTTTCTTGCAGATTCATTGGCGGTCCATGACCTGTCCTGATGAGTTTATCTATCCATTCCTTTGTAGTTCCAGTGCCATCATTCGCGTCTCGTACTTTGAGCTTCGGGGTTTCGGTCGCTGTACCAGTACTTGAAGTTGTGCCTGATTCATGGCGACGCAGAGAAGAGTCACTTCCGGGCGATTGCTTCACTCCCTCTGCTTCTACGTGCCCGCTGAGTTCTTCAACCACGCCTTCTAGTCTTCGAAGCCTCTTTAGTAGTTCCGCCTCTCGGTCGCTCGTTGTCTTGCCACCAACCCTAGGCCTTCGTGGAGCTCTACCAGGTGCAGGAAAGATACACTCTCCTCCGGCTCTGGTGCAATTGGAGCATGGCTCTTTCTTGTCGCACTTAACTTTCCGCTTGCGGCATGTAATACAGCTTCGCGCTGCTAAAGCGTGCGGGGCAGAGTGTGAAGCTTTTCTCTGTTCCGAGAAGAATAACGGTTTCGTCTGTGGATCTGCTGTGGGAGAGATGAGTACTGGAGACGTTATGTTGGTAGAAAGCGCGGACGAGGCTGCGGAAGTGGGTTGAGGTCGCGCAGACATGTTGTGCGATTTCTGCCTACGTCAGTAGGCGGCTGTTCGCCGTGCAGGACGTGCAGGTGTTCACGCTCAATAATAGCAGACTGGCAACTTATACGAAGTCAGAATATCAGAATAAGTCTAGAATTTTGTATGCTGCGAAGGACTGGTTGAAGTGGGTCGGTACTATCGATGCGGCGAGATCGAGGCTATCCAAGTCAAGCCTTCGGGACCGAGAACATTTCGCACTTTACAAAGCTTCATTTCTGGTGCTTCGTTGGAAGCTTGGAAGCTGGAGTCCCATGGAATAATGATGACTCCCTCCCGAAACCGATTAACTTCAAAGAGCGTAGCATAAATTGCGCTTACATCCACGTGCCGCTTACCCATCAAGGAATCCTTTAGACCACTTTCCACTTTCCAGGTTCTTACTGGCTTTCCAGCTGCGAGAACACCATCTGCATCAAAATCCGCTCCTGCAGACAAATGTCCAAGATTGTACATTTCGAGTAGGATCATATCTCCGCTAAACAATAATCAGCGACCCGCATGTGGTGGAGCTCCATGCTGTACAACAGCTGCTGTCACTCTCATATATTACAGTGTTATATGTTTGCCTCTAGTTCGTTAGCCGTTTCCTCTGCTCCCGCGTAGGCAGTTTCCTGGACACTGGGCACGACATTGAGACTGGTGGTGTATTCTGTGTTGGCGGTAACCTCGACATTGGCAGTGTCTTCAGTATTGTCGCAAGCTTCTCGGGTGTCCTTGGGGGTAATGTCTTCATCGGTACTGATCAAGCTACTGGCAAATGCTTTCGCATAGTCTCTAGAATGATATTGCTTCCAGCAATCACTATACTCCTCGGTCTTGTTCTTGCAAAGAGAAACTAAACAAATTGCGCATTTCCATTGAGTTCTGCGTATTGTGTTGCTTGGCTCTACGGCTCTTCCAGCTCGACGATCCTGAATTCGATTAAAGGCGCATTGTTGACAAGATCGACGCTTTGCCTTAGCTACTTGTATGTAGACGTGACGATCGCAGGGTATAACTGTTGACGGAGCTGGCAGATGGGACGCTATCCCCCGAGAGATACGCTTACTCTGGTCTAAATCTGTCAGTAAATCAGCAGCTATTAGTAACTAATAGCCTCCTCACGTTGTTGTGAACCATCACTCATGTTGAGGGGGGTGGACATATTCCAACCGTATTTCAATGGTCAGATTGTATACATATCCTGTCTGTTTGTCGAGATATCGTGCGAAAAAAGAATTGGGGCTTTCTTGGTAGAAAAGGAAACCTTAGAGATGCGCAGAACTCTGTCAGTAGATGGTCGCCTCCATGAAATGAACGTGGAGTGAGGGAATATTGTATCGAATAGAAACTTTCATGCCCAAATGCTCTCATGAAATTGCCAAAGATAAATAGCTGATATAAATGTGTCGGTGGTGTACAAGTATGATCAACCTAATGCTCGATGGGCTGTATACCTCGGCTTCCCTAGCTTGCTTGAGCCATCAGAGATCACATGACTCGCTTGGCACTGAGGAAAGCTCTCGAAGCTCGACACAATGCGCCAACGTCATTTGGCCTTTGCCTCCCTGCCTACATAAAGTATACACCTCGTGTCATCCTCAAGCATCCAACATCATCACAAACCTATCATCAATATGGCGTTTACAATGCGACAGCCGCTACGGCTTGGTACCTCCATCGCCGCCGCATCGAAAGGCGCTTTCAAATCCTCAACAGTACGATCATTCCACTACACCAAACCCGCATCAAACTTCTTCTCCGCGAAAACTACCAGCTCTCCCAGTGCGCTCGCAAAGGCTCGGAATGCGTTCAGAAATTCGAGGAGGACTTATATGAACCAGCCAGCTATTCCAGCGGCTAATGCTACACTTATTCAGAAGTTGGCAGTGGGAGGTGCTATGATAGTCGGAGGGGTTATTGCAACAAACTTGGTGTTCAACCGGGAAACACGAGAAGATGGAGGCATGCCGGCTTATGAGCGAGAGTATCTCAATGAAACTTTCATGCACACCGGTCTTGGAGTAGGAATTATTGGTCTTTCGGCCAGGGCAATGTTTCAATCGGGATTCATGTACAGGATGATGGCAACAAATCCGTGGATTGTTATGATCGGTGGTCTCGGTCTAAGCATTGGTACAATGATGGGCACAAGAGCGACATCTCCAGACAAGTAAGTTTCTATGATCCCAGAATCCAGAGTCATGTATTGACAGTTCTTTAGCTACGTTCAAAAATATGGTCTTTGGAGTGCTTTCAACGTAACCCAAGGTGCCCTCCTCGCACCTCTTCTCTTTATGGCACCACCTGCCATCATCGCTCGGGCTGGTCTTTATACAATCGCAATGATGGGTTCAATCTCTTTTGTTGGTGCCACGGCTAAGCAAGAGAAATACCTCTACCTCGGTGGACCACTTCTTGCTGGTGTAGCAATCGTCGCTGTTTCCGGATTCGCTCCTCTCGTACTACCAGCCACTGCTGTTCGTACGCTTGCTTTCACCGAAAACATCTGGCTTTGGGGAGGATTGGCAGTCTTCGGAGGATTTACTTTATATGATGTCCAGAAGATTCTTGCTCATGCCAGGATGGCTCAACAAGGACTTATTCGAAAGGATGCCGTTAATGAGAGTATGAGTTTAGAGTTGGATTTCTTGAACATTTTCATCCGGATGGTCCAAATCTTGATGATGCAACAAGGACGCAGAAAGTAGGATATTTAGGGTTGAAGGGAAGTTGGCAAATTTGAAATGTATGGATTATGGGAGCATTGGAGTTACGGCTGTGCAAATGAAAATAGTGGATTGACTCCTCTCTTTCTGTAAATAGGAATTTAAGCAAACAAACTAAAAACTTACAACCTTCTACTATTGTAACCGTCCTATAGGTAGACTGTTATTTTAACTTACACATATCACTGATTGGACTGTAAGAGCACATAGAAAGCTTTATTCTTATGAAGTATCGCCCATTAATATTAACATCACAGGTTCAAAGTTCCCACGGGTAGAATCATGTGGAATTACACCTTGATGTCAGATTTGGAATTGTGTTTGGAATCATACATAGCACTGGAATCAACGTTTCTGGTGGGGGCTGTGTGGCGGAAGAATTCTGGATCGCTGATTTGTCAGACCCCTCCATGACGACTTCATCCCGAGGTGTTTGTTATACTTAAACATCGCCATCCACCTCGATCTTTTGTCCCTATCCAAATTGAAATACATCTCTTCAGTCGTCAACGTAGACTGAACTCCAGAAACTCAATCGAATTCAAGAACACCAAATCCTAGCTCACAAGTCAGCAATCTGCCTTTCACATTCTCACCTCGCACACTTCTTTTCGCCGTTTTCGTACTCCTAATGGCTACCAACATGCCCACCTTCCTCACTCGCCTTTTGCGACCCTTCTCCTCCACAACCACATCTCTGACACCGGTTGGCCCGATATCTTCACCCGCGGGTGCTCAAAAGGCCACCATAGCAGCCGGTTGTTTCTGGGGCGTGGAACACATGTTTCGTCGCGAATTCAAGTCTCGCGGTCTCTACGATGCTCGCGTTGGCTACATCGGTGGCGACACCTCTTCACCTTCCTACCGCGCCGTCTGCAGCGGTAGAACAGGACATGCCGAAGCTTTACAAGTCACATACGACCCGGACAAGGTCAGCTATCGGGATCTGATCGAGTTCTTCTATAAGATGCATGATCCTACGACAAGCGACCGACAAGGCCCAGATACTGGAAGCCAGTACAGAAGTGGCATATTCTATCACGATGCGGATCAGGAGAGAGTTGCCAGGGAGGTCACGAAACAGGTCAATGAGCAGTGGTGGAAAGGAAAAGTTGTGACTGAGATTCTGGAGGCGGGGGAGTGGTGGGATGCGGAGGACTATCATCAAAAATACCTGGATAATAACCCCGGAGGTTACGAGTGTCCAAGTCATTTCTTGAGGAAGTTCCCACCGCTCAGCTAGAGCTGAGGTCAGAAGGGACAGGATTGATGGAAGTCGGATGATAGGAATGATAAGATGATACCAGTTTTTCTCTCGCATTATGTATAGTACAATGGCCAAGCTGGGCAAGAAACAAATACAATTATGACTTCTTCATATCTTCCACTCTTCTTCGTAAACAATATTTTGTCCATGAGTTAGACTTGAAATCGCCTGTGGGGGGCGAAGTATATTGCTCCCTACTGCTTTTTATTGGACCTGAAGCGCTAATATCTCTGGAGCAGCTTTTGGTCTCATCGTCGCTTTGGGGATTCGTCGCATATGCTGTGATGGATGGAATTTAGTCTGAGCAGTTGCTGACACCATTTGATAGTTTCAGCTTAGAACCATTTCATCACAATGCAGGTACCTTACGCCAGGATCGGTACATGGAAATGACGCTATTTTCAACAACCGTAAAGGACCTTGAATGTGATCATAATACACTACCTCAACATGCTGTGTCCTGTACGATATCCGCAGAATGAAGATCAGCTAAGAAAGCGACCAACCATACAAAATGGCTCTCTGTTATAAAGTCGAGGAACTCTCCCTTCGACATTTAGCCGAATAATCTGATGGAGAAGTGATAGCTGTCTACACTAAAGCTACTTTCAAGAGATACTTATCTAAGGCTTTGTCTATGTACCGTACCCACAGGAAATGGTCTGTCACGATTCTAGTAGAAATCCATTTCTCCCTCTGGTAACATATGTTCCGACTTTGGGCAAAATCTTAGTAGAAGAAGCAAAACGTCAACTGCGGGTCTGTGAAAGTTCCTGTGATCCTAAAATAAGAAAGTCGATTGTTTAATTATGAGAAACTGACAGGCTCTTCCTATGGAATTGCGCCAGTTATGGGATATCGTACAAGAATAGCTTCATATGTGGTTTGATTCGTAACTGTCATTTCGCACAAAATTGCTACTCTAAACATACCACCTTGAATCTTAAAGCTACTTAGAGTTTATTGCGTTGTCATCTTTATTGCGTTGTTATTATTTTGATACTTTAACAAAGCATGATATCGTTTGCCAATCGCTGTTTCTTCGAAAACTCAAATATGATTTAAGACAAACTAGAAATCGACAAACCTACCCAGAATTAAAACCACACTGTTTGTTTTACACCAGTTAAAGCGATTGCAAGCATGTCTCTCAAATCAGAGGGTTCATTTCACTCACTAAATTATCTCATACCAGACAGGAAAGGTTTATGGCCTATTGCTGTGTCCAGTTAACAAATTGGCTCATACAAGATCAGAAAGGCTTATGGTCTATGGCTGAGCCCAATTTCAAAATGATAGAAGTTGCTTCTTGAGATATAGGGATGGTTAAACTTGTCCATCAAGATACTGTGTAGATCCAAATCTCTCACAAATTTGATTTATTTACACGATGTCTTCTTCCGCTTCTGTAAGCTCATTATTTCAGACTTGCAAATAATTTGGTGATTTATAGGTGTCAAACTTTGTGTAGGTGGAAAACATGAATGAGCCAAATTCTTTGTGTTGTCTATCAAACTTCAGACTGTTACACAACAAGACTGAAGTTAGACACATCAGTGAATATAAGTATGAGAGTAAAGTTTGTCAAGCAGCTGTGAATGTTGTCGGAGCCCAAAATCTAGTTTGTTAGAAATGTTTTTTTGGCAAAGAAAATTCCAAGAAAACAGACTACATTCAACATGCTCAAATTTGCTTTCAACTATTCTTGATATGATAAATGCATTTGCTTCTTCTTTTTACACTTTCTTTCCTGGATATCATGCCCCAAGAGCTTGATCCTGAGGAATGGCCAGCACTTCCCAGCACCTCAATCAAACCTGCACAAAATAAAAACAGACTGAGAGGCGCCAAATCAAAAGCCAAAATCAACACCAAGGACACCGTGAAGAGTAAGAGTTTAAATTTGTTACACCACCCCTCTCAGAAGCAAACCGAAGTAAGGGGTGATTCTATCATAGAGACAGTCCAGAGTAGAGAGTCCTCTTCAAGAGGAATGTAACCCCCCGAAAGAACCACCAGTCAAGCAGCTTTATTCGGAAGTTGCAGCCCTTGAACGTAGGATTACTTCGAATCATATGTCAAGTATAAACATTCTAACTTCATGGTTATTATAGGTCCAACACAGTTCCCAACTCGCGTACGCAGGCCTCGGGAACTTCGAAAATGCTTCAAAAGAGATACCCAAACCTCCTCTGGCTCCGGTCACAAATTGAGCTACAAGGAAGAAGATCTTCTTCAAAAGATGCGCGCTCATCTCGCATCACCATACGACAGTCATCGCCAGGAATGGTTTCGAAAACAACTCCATGACTTGGTTCAACAGTCATCAAAAACACCAACAGATTGGGAAGCAATCCTGCTACGTTATCGAGATATGTTCAACAAGATCATCTTCAAAGGTCTACTAAACCGCCAGCTCTGCCCTCTGACATTCTTCAAGCTCGGGACACACAAAAGCAAATTATTCGGCTGGTCACTGAATCTACGGGACATCCCCGACATCACGCCAGAGACCATAACTGGCAAGATAGACATTTTCGAGATCAAGGACCGCGGCAGAAGTTTGGCAGAGCAGCTACGCATATACCTAGGTGTGCTTCTCCACGAAATGGTCCACGCATTTCAATGTCTTTACACGTGCGGATGCATAGCTTGTGAGATCCCGGACGATTTGTTCAAGGAAGCTGGGAATGGGTATGAGTTGTTCTTTTATGGTCTGTCTGGGGCTATTGAGATATTCATGAGAGATGTTTTGGAGGTCAAGGTCAGCTTATATCGATATGACCAACTGCAGATTGCGATAGGCAAGGGTGAGTTGGGGGTAGATGACCTTCCCAAGGTAGATTGGAAAGCGTATGATCTGGATGTTCGACATATTGGCAAATTGATAGATGGTGTACAAGGAAGGTGGGAAACAACCTGGCAAAATTGTGGTTAAAAGGAGGATTTGGTTTTAATTTTTAGATTCATCTATGAAATTGGATAATAGATTCAAAAGATACACTATTTAGTTGCATATAGAGAATAATCGTTCAAACCACACATTTTCGTACTTACTATCTTGCAAACCCAGCATGATAGTATTTCATTGTTGCGCTGTTTGCTTAATCTACCTAGCATGTTTAGGGGGTTCTCTAAATCTGATGAAAATTCATATGGTGCTTTAAGTACCTTGAAGTCTATCCGGTCGGTCTTATTTCGTTATACGATGCCTGATACCTAATCCATTAGAGGTCCGGCTGTTGTTTCTATCATTCACTTATCACTTACATACTCAAATTGTGGGGTTAGAATTAGACACTTTAAAGTCATTGCGAAACCATGTCATACACAGCAAGATAAGCTGATCCTATTACGTTTATAAGGGCTTGATGTCAATTGAAGCAATTGTAGACGCGACTGAACGAATCATTTGTGAATTTACTAATGCACTGACGAACAATTACAAAGCTCCTTCCGAGCTGATCAATTATACAACACCCCCATATACCAACGCCACACTCAGGACGCCATACAAGAATAAGTCCGGCAGAAGACGGCTATCTAGGACAAGAATAAGAAAGGGTCATTATCATCATATGAATAATCTGTCCTCCATGCAATGGGACGATGCAAAAAGACCAAAACATGCTGGAAAAAATCCTGACTGAACTGCCAAACTCCTTTCAATCATTATGCAAGACCAGCTTAGCGCCACCCTCCTTTACTCATGACACCTGTAACACTCTCTCGTGATCGCGGCGTACCACTTGCAACTCGTATTCCGCCGGAACCTAAGCTGTTTGAAATATTTCGAGGCTCAGCAATTGTTGTTCTGCGATTGCTCTTAACAATAGGTTGGGTTCGAGGACTTAGCACACTTGAATGGAATGAGCCTTCCCTGTCACTTTTAACCATGCGACGAGCATGGCTAGCTGTAAACATATTTTCATTGGGCGGAGATCCTGCCATGGTGGCAGCAGTTGGGCTTCGACGACGGTGAGCTCTGAGTACGCCTTCATTAGACGCGCGAGAAATTGATCCCGCCCGCTTTAAGGCTCTACCTATTTTGGCACTCTCTGATCTGTCCATTTGAAAACTGTTTTCACCCTCTGAAGATGAGTTGTTGCCACTTTCGGCGGACGCTACAGCTTGCATGATAGCTAACGATGAGCGATTAGCAGCATTGTCCGCGTTGATCATCCTCAGTGGCGATTGCTCCGTATCAGATGAAGAGAGTCGGGTCATCTTTGGTGGTGCAAGTGGAGGAGACCCATCTGATTTCTTGGACAAGAAACCCGCCTGAAATCGATTTGCTTTGGGCTTGATATCAAGAGATGATTGCGGTGCAACCGGCACAGGAGAAGAGCCTTCCACATCGCTTGAAATTTCCGCCGCCAAGTATGATGGAAGTGCAGGAAGGACCACGCTTTGCTCCATTAAGGATACCTCTGGAGAGCTCGCTATTTTTTGAGGTGTTTTTTCGAAGTCAGCTAGAGCTCCTGCCTCGTCGTCGTCACGCCATCTAACACTTCGGTGCTTGGATGGGGATCTTTTCTTCGGTGTAAAGGATATTCCCTTCTTTCCCAGGCCGGCCTTTTTGCGTCGTGGTGATGCTTTCATTGGCGACGCGAACACTTGAGGCGCTACTGCTGAAAGAGCTGGCATCATAGGCATGGGCTTGGATTGACCATCAACGGCGTGGGCGGTTTTCTTCCGCTTTGGAGTGCCGCGTTTTGTTGGTGGAAACTTCTCTGCCACATTTAGTGATCCATCTGGTTTGATGATATGGGATACAGAGGACGAGCAAGCTTGTAGCAGCCGCCCGAGTACACTTTTGGCGTGTTGAACTGCATCTTCTTCGTTCATACTCAGTATATCGTTGAGTGAAGATATTATATCGAATTGAGCGGCCAGTAGCACTTGCATGATACTTGCATCACCAGCCTTATCTTGGTCCATTACTTCTCTCAATGCATCCCTCCCAGCGTTGGCCTTCAGTAACTCTGCCTCCCTTGTCAAACTGGCGGCTTCCACACCATCAATAGACCCGTCTACTTCGGTCAATTGGCGAACACTGTTCTGTAACGCCGAGTCGATTGCACGTTCCCAGTTGATCTTATCCAATCTTTGATGATAGTGCTGCCGGCTGTTCTCAAGCTCGAAAATGATCCCCTGGGCAGTCTTGCGCATAGCACTAAGGCTAGATGGCATTTCTTCGTCTTCGCGTGAATCACAAACGGAGTCGAACGCTGCCACCCACGAAGAGAGCACTGAGATACGTCGCTCGATCTGGCGGAGCTTTTTCATGTTCGTAAGTTTCTCTTGTCGCTCTTGAGTTGAGTTCTCGTAAGCGGCCCGTATGCGAATAACGCCATCCCTAGCAATTACATCTCTTTTCTCGCTATGCTTTTTGAACTTCGCAAATGCTGCAGCCTCCCCATCCTTCTGTTGGGCCTGCAACTCGTTGATCAATGCCCTTTGCTCGTCAATCTTGACCAGGAAATCCTTCACATGACGATTGACATTATAAACATTTCGAGTAACTTTCGTCTGGATATTCTTCGCTCTGTTTGCGTATCGGAGAGTGTTTTGAGTTTCGTCGAAGTGAGCACTAGAAGGACTAACACACACAATCATAACCGTCTTACAGTTTCCTCCTAGAGAGAATTTTAGAAGCCGAGTCAGTTTCGAGTTTCGATATGGAACATGATTCTTTTTCCGAGGATCACATAGAGCATTAATGCAACCACCAAGCGCTAGTAGTGACTTGTTGATATTGGCTCCCTCGAGCAATCGTTCTCCGCGGTTTTTCGTTGCACTGGCACGTTCACTGCCAGCCAAATCAATTATACTTAATGTCGCCATAGTGTGCGGCTCATTAACATCAGCGTTGCGGTCCTTTTGCGCTACGTTTACTTGAAGGACAGCGTGAGATCGCGAAGAAGTTGCATTTGCCGCCGTGGGTGATACGGTTCGATATTCGTTTCCCTGCACAATCATATCCATGACTTCTTGCACATCCCGAGGATGATGGCTAGTCAACCCAGCAACTGATACAGTTTGATTCGCATCTTCCCGTAACATGAGTCCTTGTTTGCTTCCGCCTGGTACCAGCAAGTCTCTAATCGTTTCATTGTAGATTTCCAGGTAGGATAGGGATACCTCTGTAGACTTTTCGTCACTTCGCTCCGCAATCTTTTCGAATAATTCTTGCATGGTCAAGAAGATAATACCAGGTTGTTGAGCGGTTCCCGTAATTGTGTGTGTCTTTCCACAGCCAGTTGCGCCGTACGCAAATACTGTCGCATTATATCCGTCCATTACACTATCCATCAGACCTCTTGTCGTTGCTTCATAGACTTCGGCCTGTGTTGTATTTTCGTCAAACACCCGGTCGAATGCGAATTGTTGATCTTTTACCCGCTTTCCCATAGGTGCGACATTTCTGGTAAACCTTGTCACAGGTGCGTCTTCTGGGGGATCAAATATACTGCAAGAATTAGCATTATTTGCTAATGTTGAAAGGCCGGTCCCTACAGGCACTTGTCGTCTAGCACTTTGATGACTGGGCGTATTCCTTTTTGACCGAGTTTAGGAGTCGGAGCTCCTGCCATGGAGCCATCTCCCAGAAATAGTGTACCTTCATCGCTTTTGGTTCTGTAATTTGTGAGCAAAACTGTAGTCACAGTCGCGGAGTGTATATGGTGCCTACATCTGGGCTGCTTCTCTAATCGTAAAAGGTCGGACACGAACTTTTCAGAGTAAGCTTCTGTAATTATATACTGATAGGACTTAGATTCGCATACCGGTCACCGAAATGGAAGACGCTCCTGCATCTGCGGAAGCCATTCCTTTTGTTGTGAAGGGGGCAGATCATTCAAGGACGGGACGCCCTGATATCATAAACAAAGGAGCGCCCGAATCAAAAATTCTCAAAATTATGAATCGTACAAAATTGAATAAAAGGTTTCTTATCGAGTCCGATGGGCAGTAAAGACAGTTGCAATGCAATTCTTGGGTTGTCGAGTCGTGGTTGTGGTGTATGCTTCGTTCGCGAAATGTTGATTTAGAAAGATGCATCATGGAGAAGTGGAGACGAAATCGCCCGAAGCTCCACTTTAACGGTTGTCATAGCAACACGACCACGAACTCTTTTCTTCAGCACGACATGTGCTCCTCTGAAAGTTACAACTGCTGGACTCTCGATTGATATACGATCGTTCGATAAATAGCGCATGCTAGGAGGTCTACTCTTCCACGATTGGAAAGCTTCAAGTTATTGAGATCCAAATCTATCAAATGATAACGCTCTTATGTACATGCGGTCTATCTTACACGGCTTTTTCCTCCAGAATATTTGGGCATTGAACAGCTGCCAGAATATCTAACCCGCAACCTTGATAATAACTGATTTGGTCTCCAGAAAGAAGTCCAGACTGTGGTATGGCATACCTTCTCTACCAACCCCTGAGCCTTTGTAACCCCCGAATGGGGTGTCGGCCCCGGTCACAGGACTGCTGCAATTTATACCTACAGTGCCAGCTTGAAACCCTTTGGCGAATCTCATTGCACGACTAATGTCCTTGGTGAAAACGGAAGCATACAACCCGTATTCGGTATCGTTTGCTTTGGCCAGAACGTCTTTCTCGCTGTGAAAGACATTGATATTGACGACAGGTCCAAACACCTCTTCCTTCATGATCTGAGAATCTTCAGACGTCGATGTGAAGATTGTAGGTTGGATGAAGTAACCTTTATCAGCGGATACCGAATCTGGTCCAAGGATCATATTTCCATCTCGCTTTCCCATTTCGATATACTCCAAAACCTTGTCGAATTGTGCCTTGTCCACAAGTGGTCCATGTCTGGTTTCGCTTGACGTCGGGTCGCCCATCTTTGCAATTTCTGAGAATTTGGTTTTGAATAGATCAATAAAGCGGTCCGCGATAGTGTCCTGAACGTAGATCCTCGAGTTCGCCATGCATACCTGGCCGCTGTTTGATTGAATACCGTGGGCAGTAGACGTTACAGCAGCTTCAAGATCCGCGTCCTCGAAAACGATGGCTGGAGACTTTCCTCCTAATTCTAATGATATAGCTTTCAAATTCGATTTTGACGATGCCTCCTGGATTAGTCTGCCAGTCCTGGTCGATCCGGTGAAGCTTAGTGCTCGAACGTCCGTATGGTAGCTCAGTATCGAACCAGAGATGTGGCCATGTCCACTCAGGACGTTGATTACACCTGGTGGAAATCCAGCTTGCTTGATCAATACTGCCAATTTTGCGGACTATCAAAGTTGTTAGTCAAGTTACTGCAATAATTTATACCAGCCGAAGTTTTTAATTGAGGCGCTACTCACTGTCAAAGGCGCCTTCTCGCTACTCTTCAATACAACTGTGTTGCCAGTTATTAGAGCAGGGGCTAGCTTTTTGGCGAAAAACAACACAGGAACATTCCAAGGAATTATAGCAGCTACGACGCCATAGGGTTGACGAAACGTCAAATTCACAAATCCCGGAGTGGCTAAGCTGGATGTCCCTTGGATTGTATAGCCTGCTTCAGAATAGTGGTCGAATATTTTGGCAGCTGCTGCGGCATGGAAATAACCAGAGACAGGAAGCCCCATGGACAAAGCTTCCAGTTGAGCAAATTCTCTGTCATGCTCACGAATTAATGCAGCAAGCTTTTTGAAGTAAGCTCCTCTTTCCTGAACAGTGAGTTCTTCCCATGCTGGCTGGGCGGCTTTTGCCGCTGCGACAGCTCGATTGGTATCCTCCTCGGAAGCTTCTTGAACTTCATCTTTGTTAGCTGGCTGAACAGTACACAGATCTATATTTAATCATACCGTGGACCAAGACCGTGTTATCTTTCGAAGATATAAGCTCAAAGGTTTTGCCGTCTGATGCATTTACGAACTGCGCTCACAGTGGTTAGGTCACGGTACATCAATATACAATTATGCTTAGGACGTACTTCGCCATTGATAAAGAGACGAGTCTCGATCTGGTCTGGAGGGGTTATGCCACCCATGTTGGGCAGAGGCGAGGGCGTAGATGATTACTGGTAGTGGTGACAAGAATAGTGTTGTGTAAAGATCACGTTGTCCAGCGAATGTTTGTTGACGTTGACAACCCACCAGGCAGTTGTCCGGATCGTGATTGACCTGCCGGCGTTGAATCACAACCAATTTCGCTAATCACTACCCCGCAGTATTCATCGAAACGGTTGCATTTTTAGCCAAAACCGCTCAATTTCGGCATCTAGATCGTCGAAAGGGTTACATTATGTTTGTTGGAAAGTGTTGGTCGTGGGGCTGCGGTGGGGCACATCGACCTTCCATATCACGTTTTGATGAGGATACACGGTTTTGGACTATCATGAGCATGAAAGATAGGAATTATATGGTGTTTTTGGCAAAAAAATCAACATGTCTTCAACTGAAATAGAAGAACTTAAAACACTAGTACAATCCCTCCGCAAAGAAGTGACCAAAATCTCAGGTGAGACTATACCCTCAACCTCTAACTCACTCACACCATTCACCAACCCTCACATAAGTCAGTAATTAACCCTCCCGACAGACGAATCCGCAATCCGCAAACTCCACCACGCATACGGCTACTACCTCGACAAATGTCTCTACTCGGAAACCGTCTCCCTCTTCGCCGACGACGCCTCCACCTCCGTTGAATTCCTCGGTGGTCGCTACCTCCGCAAAGAAGGCGTCCACCGTCTCTACATCGGCCGATTCGCCTCTCGTTTCGTGCAAGGTCGAAACGGCCCCGTCCACGGCTTCCTCCTCGATCACTGCCAGATGCAAGATATCGTCGACGTCGACGCCGATGGAATCCACGCCAAGGGACGCTTTCGCGCGCTGATGTCGGCGGGTACGCATAAGAGTATCAAGGACACGCATCCACGGGGATTGGTTCAGTGGTGGGAGGGCGGCGTGTATGAGAATGAGTATATCAAGGAGGATGGCGTGTGGAAGATTTGGAAGTTGAGGTATTTTCCGTTTTGGCATGCGGAGTTTGAGAAGGGGTGGAGTGCTAAGGAGGAGGGCGAGTTTGTGGGGTTGATGAGTGAGGTTAGGGGGCCGGGGAATGAGTTGGGTCCTGATGAGTTGGTGGAGGGGGGTGTATGCTTTGGCCTGATTGTGTAAGTGTTAATTGCGTTTTGTTCTTTTTAGAATATTGCTGACGGGAACTTCAGAGAGTCGTACCTTTTCATTATAAGCACCCCGTGACAGGCGAAGACGTAAAAGAGAACGACTTGAGGGCGCCAGGTTGGGGAGAAGATGTGGAAAGCAGCAAACCAGCATTAAAGCTGAATTGAATACTCTGAGCTGTAATATTAATACCCACGCAAATTAAGCCAAGATTATCCTACATACTGTGCACAGAGACTTTATCAGAAATACGAATTCTTTATTCCTTACATGCCTAGATCTCAAGTGGCAGTTTGAACAATTTAATAGCATTTGTCCTTCCAATCACTTCTTTCTCATCTTCTTCCAACTCAGCACCCTTCCACCAGTCCATTGCTTCCTTGACTTGGTCGTATGGATAATCTGTATCAGTCATTAGTACATCTTCTTTCCACGTTGAGATGTATGCTCCATGGAAGAGAGACGCTTCCGTGCAAGGTATTCTTACCAATAGCAAACAGGCACCTTTCGATCCCGATTTGGCCCGTACAGAACTTTAAAGCCTCGGTAGAGAAGAATCCCGATGTCGTAACGTGTATGTTATGTTTGAAATAGTACGCATAATCTTGCGCACATGGTCGAGATGGTTTTTTGAGAGGTGAGTTCAACCAGTGAGATGCTCGCCAGAGGTTGAATGGAATTCTGTCAGTCATCAATACCTGCACTTGAAAATGGGGTTAGAGAAGCAATAAAAGAAAACATTCTCACCCTTCACCTAAATGTCCTACCACCAACTGAACTCCTGGATACCTATCAAACAGTCCACTCGAACAAATGGCATATATGTGGAAACTCAAATCAAGATGGAATTGTACACCTGCACCCAACAAATGTTTCCGGCTGCCATACATTGTGCCAGGTTCGAGCTCCGGCTTGATGCGATATCTTGGATGGATATAGACTGGAACATTCAACTCTTGCACGGCTTCCCAGAATGGATCATAAGCCGGTGTATCATAGTACAATTTCTCTGTGCCGTCTGGACCATGTGATTGGAAATCGTTGATCAGGGCACCGAACATTCCCAATTCCTTGACTGCGCGCCGAAGTTCGGTGATTGCATCTTGGGAATTGTGCATTGAGATTGCAGCAAATGCACCGAATCGCTGAGGATTCTTTGCAACTTCTGCTGTGAGGTAATCGTTGGCGTCTCTGGCAACTTGAGTGGCAGTTTCTGGATCGCTTTCACCTTGACATCCTGGCGATGTTAGTGAGAGGAGCATATATTCGACGCCATTCTCATCCATTTGCTGAAGTCGAGCACCGTGAATGTCGAGGAGCCGAGTTGAATATGAGGCCACTGGTTTCGAGGGATCAAAGGAGGGCGAGAGGAGGGACTGCCATTCTGTTACTGATGCAATGTCGGCAGGTGATATCACTGCCTCCTCGATTGCGATCGTGCCTCTGGCCATATTTCTTGATAAATTGGTAGGAGCAAGCTGACGGATTTGAGCGCACACGATTTTCTCGGACTTAGTTCAAGGCTTCTAGATTTTTGTAACTTACTGACTATAGTGAGAATATGCTTCCTCAACTGGGCACACTGACCCAAACCTGATACCGAGTAACAATGCAGTGTACATGTGCCCCTCATTGTGCAACGTAGTAAATGAGGGGCACTCGAGATGGATTCTTAAAAATAGCTGCAGCCAGCTTGCAATACCGGCAGTGTTGTGTTTGGCAGAATGTGTTACCCACTACTCGGGTATTTATCCAGGTCTCGTTTGTTGCAAGTGACAAAACCGTTGATCGAGCTCAAGAAACACTTGAAAAATAATATGTTCCTGGTTTAGACCTTGGAATTTGCGGTATATCGAACACCAGAATCGAAACATGGCGCATTTGCATTCATTTTGCCCAGAAGAGCCTGCTAATTACGTGGATGGGAAGAAATCGAGCTCCCAAATCAAATACCCCGAAACAGGGTTTTTCAAGGGGTTCAACAAGCCAACAAGATTCGAAGGCGACATTTTCGATCTTGAAGTATCAGGAACTATTCCAGATGACATAAATGGTACATTCTATCGAATCCAACCAGATCATCGGTTTCCACCCCTGTTCGAAGAGGACATACATTTCAATGGTGATGGAGCGATATCCGCGTTTCGGTTCGAGAACGGCCATGTTGACTTCCGTCAAAGATACGTACAAACGGAAAGATTTAAGCATGAAACAGCAGCCAGGAAAAGTTTATTCGGGAAGTACAGAAACCTTTACACGGACAATGAAGCGGTAAAGGGCATTATCAGGACTGCGTCAAATACAAACGTGGTATTCTGGCGGGGCATGCTTCTTGCCATGAAAGAAGATGGGCCACCGTTCGCCATGGACCCGACGACACTCGAGACACTGGGTCGGTATGACTTCGATGGACAAGTACTCTCGCCCACGTTCACTGCACATCCGAAATTTGACCCTATAACCGGAGAGATGGTTTGTTTTGGGTATGAAGCTGGTGGCAATGGAAATGATGGCTCGTGTGATATCGTGGTATATACGATAGACAAAAACGGTAAGAAAACAGAAGAGACATGGTACAAAGCGCCATTTTGCGGGATTATTCATGACTGTGGAATCAGCGAGAACTATCTCGTCCTTCCTATGACGCCTCTCAAGTGTTCTCATGATCGTCTGAAGAAAGGTGGTAACCACTGGGCTTGGGATCCGGACGAAGACCAAATGTACGGCATTGTCCCTCGACGCGGTGGAAAGCCTGATGACATCGTTTGGCTAAGAGCTGACAATGGTAGGCGATGTCTCAGCTCAGTGCGGATCTTGGCTAATTGTATGTAGCCTTCCATGGACATGTCGCCGGTTGCTACGAGAATTCGGATCGCCATATTGTCTTCGACTTGACCATTGCTAACGATAATGTGTTTTTCTTCTTCCCACCAGAGAACACACCAGCTGAGACACTCAACCAAAGGAATAAGCTGACTTCGGATACATTTCGTTGGATATTTGACCCGAAAGCCAAATCAAACACGCGCGTCGAACCGGCAGAGGTGTTTGGTATCAACGGGGAATTCTCTCGAATCGATGACCGGCTTGTTACAAAGCCATACAACCATTTCTGGCAAGTACAAATCGAGCCCACCCGGCCCTATGACTTCGCGAAATGCGGCTCACCCGCTGGTGGTTTCTTCAACGCCATCGGACATTTCCAGTGGGACAGCAGGGCGAAGGATGTTTACTGGGCTGGACCCACAACCACCTTCCAAGAGCCGGTCTTTGTTCCACGCAATTCAGATACAGAAGGAGATGGATATCTTATCGTGCTCCTGAATCATCTCGACGAGCTACGAAACGATATCCTGATACTTGACGCGTTACATGTCGCTAAAGGGCCACTAGCGGTCATCCATCTGCCCTTCAAGCTACGGTTAGGGCTTCATGGTAACTTTGTCGACCAGCGAGAGATTGATAATTGGCGAGACTTGAGAAAGGAGGACGGAGAACTGGGGCCGGTCAAGCCTGCAGAGAAGCCTCTTCCGTGGCAACAAGCTCTGGAAAAGGTAAATGGCGCTCCATAGCCAGCGTTTGGGTAAGCCTCCATTACGGAGGCAACGAGTAGTATACTGGAAAGGTCGAATTGATAACGATGAGATTTGCAATTCCTGCGTCAGACGTCGAACGCAGCAATCCAGCTTAAGGAGGACGGGATCGGAGATTGAAGGTCCAAAGGATGAACATTCTGTAATAGCGTCTAAACAGCTTTGATTGCGGGTGAAGTTGTGCAGTGCAATTGGCTGAAAGTGAGTGAAGTGCGAAGAAGTATGAAGCTATCGCGAAGTGAAATTGCGATGTCCTTCAAAATGCGAGTCCATGACGCCTGAGGCAGTTTTAAAATTAACCCTGGACGCCGGATCGACACTTGGTGTCGATCGTGGATGAGGCTATTCCCAAACGAGACCAGACTATCGAATTTCTGGAAAAGCAGGTCAGCTGACCAATGAGATGCCTCACTTCCAGTCGCCTAACTCTTCTCTTCTCTCCAGCATCACCACCCAAAATACAACGGACGACTGGGACAAGTGTTATGCTTTTTCACAGATGCGCCAGTAGTCGAAAGTATGATGGAATTTCGAAAATGCATGTGGCTGAGGTCATTCTTAGTACGAATGACTGAGGTGATCTCGTACTCGAGTAGCGGCCTCGATGAACGCCCATCGCCGCCATCCACATGCTGAAAGGAGATTTGCTTTGGCGTATTCGATTCTCGTAGGTTTGATAAGTTGTTCATAAGACCTCAGTCTGTCCTCCGGTACGACTCCATTTCCTTCTTTGCATCATCTGCGGTTCGGAAGACATCTTGTGTACATCTCGGAAGGTTCCTGTCCCGCCTAGAACGCGATCTACAACCCTATCAAAATCGACGCAGCCCAGCCACTCGCATCACACCCAGCTCTTCCAGCTAAACTACCCCAGCCAGCTGCAGCTCTAAACCAGGTCTTCACCCCTCGTTGCTGTACTGAGCATCCCGAGTCAGATCTGAGCTGGGCGTGGACCCTGCAATCATTGATCGATGTGGTGACGGCGGGGGCGGGAAGACTAGTTGCGGGCTCTATATTACTCTACGCTGTGCACCATGGAAACTCAGCTGTCATCGTTCTTGCAAGTTAGTGGGGTTTCCGAGGAAGATAATGAGACCATTATGAAGATACGCCGGGCAGTATCGATGAGCGCTTCACTGCCAGCGATATCCGAAGATGGGAATCCCGCTCAGCAAGCTCCAGGTGCACCGGCAATCCCTCCTCGGTCTTTGAGAAGAAATTCGAATAGGAACTTTGCTGTGGTTGGTGCATCAAATTTGAACCATCAGGAGGATCCACCATCCTACTGGGAAGATGACAATTCAATTGACGGAAAATATCCAGAAAAGCTATCGCGGTGGACAAAAGAGATTATCAACAATAAGCATGTTGCAAAGAGGGGCGGCTGGCTGAGATTATGTCTGATTGCACTTGTCGTCTTGTTGTGTATTGTTGGGTTAGTGGTTGGCCTAGTCGTTGGACTGAGGAAAAAGGATCATAAACAGTAAGTCACCTCTTTAGCCTCTCCGAACCACAATGCTAACAAAGAATATAGGAGTAATTCTTCGTCAGATAATGACGGGCAAACTGCAGGATTTCCAGTTGGCAGCTACTCAATCAACACCTTCCTGTCAAACGTAACTACAGATTGCACTTCTAATCCCAACACCTGGCTTTGCTATCCTTTCTCAACCTACGCCCAATCTCCAAACACTTCGGAAGCAACATTCGACTGGATCATCTCTGTGGATTCGAAAAACATAAAGAACTATTCCATCTCATCTACTGAAAACTACTTTTCCATAATGTTCGCTAATCTCACGCTCACACTCAAATCTGCCAACACATTAAACGAGCACTACTTTCTCAGCACCACCGTGCGCAAGCCGACACGGCCAACGACACAAATTGGAAACAGTAACCTCGCTGCAACATGTCAATTTGATAGTACCTTTCAAGCATACCTATTTACGCGAATGGCGAAGACGTATCCAGAATCCACCACGAACTCCGCGACGGAAAGTGGCGCATTTACACCTTGGCCTTACGCTGTCAGAATTGAACAACTCGCTACAAGTGGTGCTGGCACGCCCACATGTACAGATCCGAACGGAAATTCGCTGGGAAACTTTGCTGTGTCAGAGCCTAACAGACAGTGTAGCTGTGACTACCTGAATACTGGGACATAGTATGCGAGAGAGATCAAATATTAATGATCTCATGAACTTTTGTAATTGGCGTTCGAGATATACCTGTCGGGGTTGGAGTTTTGTATAAGGCTTGGACTGATTAGATTGAGTTAGCATATAATAATAATGCCATTTGACAATGCAAATTCGATACTTGATTTTGGCTGTCTTCACATCTTATGTTTACCAAATATATTAACTTAGAGACCGGTATTGATTTCCTTTGGCTCTAGTTGCATCTATGATGATGTCACTATGGCACAAATTCAAACTGCGACCACTTCTCTTAGAAAGATCACTCCGCCAATCAAACAGCACAGTTATCCAGACTGAGGAATAAATGTTCGAAATCGATTCAATTGCTAGGTAGTATGGTGGTCACAGCTGGCAATTCTCGTAAAGGCCAATAGTTAGTGCCGGGTCCGAATCTCATGTCCCTACAGATCAATCGCCAAATTCCACCCTCAAATCCCCTACACAAACAAACTACACCTCGGAAACCTATAATCTATCCTCATATTAGCACGCACCCCCTTTCCAAAATAAGGAAAACTTACTACCCCGCCCACTACCCTCCCAAAAATCCTGTCCCCTCACCCAACAGAAATCAGTCGTCAACAACCAATACCCCACCAGCGTCTCCGGGTACGAATTCTCATCCTCAAAACACTGCGCCGCGACCTTGGTATCCCACTTATACTTCTTCACCACCGGCGCAGCCGTCGTATAATTCTTGTAACAGACAGCGAAATCCTCACCGACCAGGAAATCCACGAGGTAGCGTTTATCGAGATCGAGATTCGGCGGCGCGCGTTTCTCGTCTGGCTCTGAGGTCTGCGGCGTGCCTTTTGTGGTCTGGTTTAATTGGAGGAAGGGGATGGGACCGCAGTTGTCGAGTTTGGAACGGTCTGGTTTGGTGACGAGACCGGTTTCGGAGACGTAGCAGTTTTGGGTTGTTTTTACCCAGACGCTACGTTGGTGTTAATAAGTTCTTGTTAGGAACTAGGGAAGGATGCTAGCTCACCTGTCACCGTTATAGGGGGCGCTTTCGGGATCCTCGTCGGCGTAGCAGGTAGTTACTAGGTTTGTGCCGTACTTGTGGTATGCCACGTTGTCGCAGCTGATGGATGGACAGATCCAGCACTCTGTGTTGTATTTTGCTTTTGCGGGTGTTTGGGTGTACTTTTTGACTTCGGAAGCTTTGCCACAATACGCTAAGTCTGTCTCGTCTGAATTTGTGTGTCAGGGGAAGTGTTTCTATTTGTGATCTATGGAACGACTTACAGGTGCCGTTGTAGAGAAGTAGATCGTACTGGGTGACATAGCAGTTTTTGTCGGTTTTGAGCCAAACACTGAGAAGTTTGACTTTTGTAAGTATTTTCTCCTCGGCCAACATTCGACTGGTTAATTTAGGAATATGTAAGTACTCACTTGTTGCCATCGTTACCGCCACGACTTATAACATCGCCGTGAGTCCAACAGGTCAGCTTCATCGAGGAGTCGTAGTCATACGCTGCTACGTTTGGGCATAGCGAGTACGGACAAGTTTTGCACTCGGTAACTACGCCATGCTCGAGGGTATTGTTGATGTAAGGCTTTGCAGCTCTGTCATTTAACACTGCTGAATTAACACAAGCTGCTGAGAGCAACAGACTCCCAAGTAGTACAATTTGAACCATACTGAAAACCCTAATGTAAAGTTGAGTAAAACTGTATATCAGGACCGTCAAAGGCAGAACGCTCGTCGTCCATGTTCAATTATACATTTCGGATAGCCTATACCTCTCGTATTCCAAAAAGCCTCACTGAGCTCATTATATTAAATTCGATATTTCTCATGCTTCTTCAAGGAACCTAACTGTCGGTCTCACTCGGCTAAGATCGAGACCCCTTTTCACTGGTTCGTCAGCTGCAAAAGACGGGAAACTTCTTCGTCCCGCATTCATGGAATCTTGGCATCAGGCACGCGAATAAACTCGTTCCAATCATGAGAGGCTGTTGTTCCACCAACTTGGATTCCTTGTGTTTGACGACTAGATCACGGCCACGTTCAATCAGCCATGGCCCAAAAGTGCTGGAATTCCGCTTGAAATGTAAAAGTGGAAAAAGAAATGGGTGAAGTTGCTTTGACTTCCGCATGGTGCTTCTAAGCCGTAGCGGCCGCTGCCTGTGAAATTTCGAGGGCCGAAATTTCAGCCCTATCACTCGTTGACATTTAACAGATAAAAGTGTTGAATTCATTCCACTGCCAAGGTACTGACCACATCACTATTCCAATGCATAATATGTCTCTCAGACTTTCTCATGGTACATGAGCACCCGTGATGCTAAGCGCTTGCACTAAATATCACTTCATCAGCGGACGAGCTCCAGCTGAAGGGTGCAGATGAAATCATCCCGTATTACTAGAATAGTCAAGGCTGACGCTCCTCTTTCGAGATCCGTTGAGGTTCATCGTGCGGTCTGTCCCGTAGACTGTGCGATATCTTCTTCATGCCAAACATAAAATAAATATCAAAATAAATGCTCAAGGATAATGGAGATTGGAAGAAGAAGAACCTACATACCAAGTTTTTGTATGAGTACCGAATGGTCATCGGATATGAGAGCTCAAATCTGCTACATGGTTTTGTACATTAGGCAATCCTAGTATCTCTTTCAATCCTCGAACAATCGAGTGGCAAAAATCGCCGCTGTACCCGCCGTTTATTGAGTAGCCCGTCCGTCCTCCTCGGTATCTCAACTCACGCCGGATTTATTGTACAAGCTCGGAAGCTATATTGCCAATTTAGCAATTCGATTCCATCAATGTCTATGTTGCAAGCAAACAGATTTGCCGCCTACTCGAAGAAGAATGTTGCTGGAAAGCCCCAATTGATACACCCGCAATGCTCCCAAACGCCGTTTCCAAATATTGAATATGCTGCCAGCAAATTTTCACCGATGTCGATCCTTGCTAAGTGTTCCTTCTTTATCATCTCTCTTAGGAAACCCTCCCACTCGTTCTGCTCGCCGCAGAACTTCATTACCCTTCTCGCCTTCTCGATCCTCGATTGGTAGACCCCACCATTCTCTATGAAACTTCTCCTGCTCCTTTCGTCGTTCCTCTCTCTTCTCGCGGTCTCGTTGACGCTTTAACCTTGTTGCAAACCATTCTTCTCGTGCGGCGTCTTGTTCGGTTTGGTTGGCATGTTGAACCATGCAGGCATTCATAAGTCTGTTCTGTGCGCGACATTTGAATGGTGCTGTAAAAGTGCGCCCAAGAGCGCAATCTGCGAATACTGGTTGAATGTTAGAAAATGAATCCAAAGTAGCACCACACCAAGCCCTACCCTTAATTTCGGCAGCACAATAACCTCTCACTCTCGCATGGTATAGTTCTCGAACTTGCGCTTCCTGGGAGGATGATAATGGTAGAGGATTTCTCGAGGGCATAGGAAGACGGGGAATCTCGGTTTCCGGTTCGGGCACCGCAGCAGCAGTTGAAGGTGCCATTGTCGCCATCAATTGAGAATACAGCAATCTTTGTATCCCAGTAAAGAGAGAGCACGAAGAGACAAGGGAGGTCGTCTTTGGAGGTTGAGTTTGGCGCAGACGATACAGACGATATGATGTTACCTTACCAGCGAAGCTTCCAAGTGCAGCTAGCTTCTATGATGTGACAGGGGTATGAGCTACATCCGCTCCGCTCCATCTTCTCTTTCTTCAACTGCTTCTGTAAATCTTCTATCGCATATATTTGTTTTAAATTCGCAAAGTTTTTCGATTGCTCTAGATGTGTATTAAGTACACTTGTCCACTGAAGCTTAGACATCAAGTTATGTTCGATTTTGGACAATTCAATCATGACTGATCCATCTTGATAGGTTGAAGGTCAAAGTTGAGCCAAAAAAAGTACATGATTTTTTATTGTACGGATTACTCATCGCATGGTAACATTATCCATGGTTATAAGAATCTTGATGAACTCTATGGGACTCAATGAGTTGGCTTTTTCTCAACATAACAGCACTAGCACACTTAGCAGAGACTACCGATAAATCACCCATTCTTGTTGATTTGGTTAAGCAAGTCAATTCATAGGATGGTGACAGTCTGCTACATTCCTCAGAGGAATCTTAAAACCCGAACATTGTGCCTGTCTGCCATCATTTAAATATCAAATCGAGTATTGAAGGTAAAAAGACATTGTCTTAACGAGCCGTCAAGAGTGAAGAAATGCTCAGGTTCGGAGGCAAAAGTTGATCATCAATTTGGCGGACTCTATGAGGAATGAGACATGATGTGGCTATTCTCACTAACGCAAGATTGGCCCTATATGAGTTGTTATATTCCCTGACATAAAGTAAAAACTCAACTCGGCCAGATTTATTATTCCTGTTCCATAGAGCTACAGTACAAAGTCCTACTATTTGGCAAGCAATTAGATTTGGTTGAGAACACTTACCCGCTGTTACTTTAATCTTGATTTATGGCCACCTCTTTAAGCAACTTAGATAACAGTGTCTATCAAAACAGAAAGCAACATGATACCTGATGAGTAGACCGGGTTGGAGTCTTGGAGAGTGAGTGATCCAGACGAAGACCCTTGCAAGTGGATGCACCCCGCGAAATCTTGGCGACCAAAAAAGTTATGGCAATCATCACGCCGCCGCAAAGAATCTTAGAACCACCCACTGAACTCGACACTCAACTCTACACTCGACTCAAGAAATAGCTAGTCAGCTGCAACACAAAGAGACGGTCTGACCGAAGATACTACAATTACTGCGCAACCTCCATCATGTCCTCCATGCGCAATGCCGTTCAGCGGCGCAACCACCGCGAAAGAGGCCAGCCCGAAGAACGCAAAAAGTTCGGATTACTAGAAAAACACAAAGTCCGTCCTCTTCTCCCACCCTTCATACCACATCTAACTAGTTTCAGGACTACTCACTCCGAGCCGCAGACCACAATCTCAAGAAACGCAAACTCAAAGTCCTGAAGCAGAAAGTCCTCGAGAAAAACCCAGATGAATTCTACTTTGGCATGTTATCCCGCAAGGGGCCGTCGACGACGGGGAAGCAGCGCACGGGAACGGTGAATGGGGATCGGGGGAATGAGGTGTTGGGTATGGAGAAGGCGCGGTTGTTGAAGACGCAGGATGTGGGGTATGTGCGGACGGTGGGGAATACGGTTGCGAAAAAGGTGACGAAACTCGAGGAGCGGTTGGCGAGGATAGAAGCGATGCAGAATGGAAAGGAGCATGACGAAGAGGTTGTGGGGATGGGGAAGAAGACGGTGTTTTTGGATGGCGAGGAGGAGATGGAACTTAGGATTCAGGAGGCGGAGTGGGAAGCTGAGGCGGAGGAGGAGCGAGAGGAGGGGGCTAGTAGGGAGGAGAGAGAGTTTAAGAAGGTGCAGAGGAGGGAGCGTGAGAAGGTGCTGCATCGACTGGAGTTTGAGAGGGAGAGGTTGAGGGTGTTGAGGGAGACGGAATTGGCGTTGGAGATGCAGAGGGCGGGGATGGCGAAGACGAGTACGGTTGGAGGGGTTAATAAGAATGGTGTTAAGTTTAAGGTTAAGGAGAGGAAGAAATAAGAGGATCTGGTTGGTGGTGGAAAGAAGAAAGTATAATGACAAGACATAACATTTGGCTTGTCTCATGATTCAGGGCCCTGCCAGCTGATCATGTTCACAGCACTGACAGGAGATACCCCTTGAGATCAGGGCTGGCTATAGGTAGTAGCTTTTGCCCGAGGAAAAAGAAGCGGTCTTCCAGTCTTGGCAACTTGTAATGATTACACAAACAGTACTCGGATTGCAGCTAGGCTCAAGACAGATGGGGCCATAAGACCATTGTCCTTGACTTGGAAGCTCATGAGGATGGAGCTTAGAACACTGATTAGTACATATTGTTCACTTTGGATACTGTGCTATGTTAGTGTGATAGTACACAACACTGTATATTTCTCAAATCTTTTTCTAGCACATTATGCAAAGAAATACTGAGAAATTAATTTATTACTGGTCAAATATCCACAGTCATGACTTAGCATGCCGGACCATAAACTAATTATATGAATACCCGACCTATGCCATCCCATATCTTCCAAGTGGTTCCCAATGACTAAAGCCCAATGCCAAGCGGGCGTGTAGGGTATATGTTCAACAAATGCCCAAATATATACAGTATCCTTTCCATGTACGCCGTTTCCATCGTATTCTCGTCGTCTCATCTCTATTGGCACGGCCGTTTTCACGAAGTGACCGGTAATGGAAGAGTAGATTTACTCTCCTTGGCGTTCTTCTTATTCTTCTTCCGCTGGCCACACATCCAGCTTGCGACCCGCCACGGAATCTTGAAGAATAGACTCACAACCCACCAGAAGAACTTGATCAGCATCCATAATAATCCACAGCATCCAGGCGTCTTCTCCTCTTTACTTTTCGAAGGAGCTTTGAAGCCTTTCAGACTATCCTGGCTTTGATCTTCAAGATCTAGCTCAAAGGTTTCCATCTTCATCTCCCTCTTCGCGGCTGTCTTCTTGCGGCCGAGAATCGAGCGAGAGCTTGGGGAACGAGGTGTTCCTGGAGGAGATAAGGGAGCGACCGAAGGTGGAGGAGCTGAGAAGTGTTCGACATGATTTTTCTTTTCCTCTTCTGTGGAGACGAGCATGACAGCGCAGATTGCTACATCGACAATATAAAATGCGTCAATTCGAGCCGCCGCCGAAGTGTCTACCTCGAGATATCCGGACCCTGCTCCATCGCGAGTGAGTTTGACGAGATTTCGAGGAAGTTCTGGATGTTCGAGTGTGTATTCAACACGTGACCATGCTGGAGATGAGGTGATGGCGATGACGAAGGGTGTTTGCAGAGCTGGGTGAACAAGGTAATACTTTTGCGAATCCTGATCCCATACTAAGCGGCCAGCTTCTCGTTCTGCTGCGGCAATAATCGATGGACCATCCGCTCGATGAGGTTTCGCTGCCATATCGAGGGCCATGTTAGATGCTGCTCTCGGGTACAGCAAAGCGACAAGACCGTCATTTGGTGGAAGGCGTCGCACAGCTTCTTCGAGAGTGGTATTAAGTACATCGGTATCTTTGTCCTTTTCTTTTGAGCGAAGGCGTGGAGATGAGGTAGTGGCCGGACGATTTGGATCCTGCCGTGTCATGGAGACTTGAGCAGATGTCGACGTCGGAATGACTTTTAAAGTGTAGAATGGTGTTGAAGTTGCAGATGAGAGGATATGTACTGGTTCTTCTGGAAGAGAGATCATTTTGAGACAGAATGCTCGTCCTTCTGATGCAGATACCCGCCATCCATTTGCTACTTTCCACAGCTCCTTCAACTCTTCACTTGTCGAAGGTTCTAATATTGATTCATCCTGCAAATGTTGAGGGAAACATCCAGCTGCTGAGCCGATGGACAGTGGTGATTGTAAGCCGCCTCCTATTCCCGGACTTCGCTGGTCAGCATAAATTGATGGGGAGTATGGTCGACGATTGATGACGGTTTTGGGTATATGAGACGGCGATGGCTGCGAGGGGAAGTAGTTCTGATATTCGAGAGCAAGCTCTGGGTTGTATCGTGGAAAGATCGATCGCATTACGGGTTCTTCGCCTCGTGGTGGAGATTCATGAAGACCTGTTTTTCGCATCGACGAGTGAGACTGGGTTGAGTTGCTTCGCACCAGTGTAGGTGCTTCTGAGAATGAAGTGTGTGATCTTGGGATGTCAGCAGCAATGTGAGCTTGTGATGGTTGAACTATAGGCGAAGATGTTGAAGCTTCTTGAGGTGTCGAACGAAGGGCGAGTGAAGATCCTCGTCCGCTCGAAGGATATGAGACGGATTGCGGCCTTTCTATCGCTGATTGAGGTGGTGCTTGAGGCTCGATTGCATTCCTCCTCGTGCTTGGTTTTCTCCCAGGCTTCTTTGCTTTCTTTGGCGGGGGAGGAAATAGCTGCAGCCCACCAGGAGATTGTCCTCCACCGCCTGTACTTGACTCTCCAGTCGCCATTTTGAAGTGAAGATCCGTTGTTCGAAGCAAAAATCCAAATCCTCAGTCCTTCGACAAGCGAGTTCTCCAACTACGAAAACCAACAGGAAAGGGCAAAGAACATAAGCACACGTCAAATAGCCATACCAAGACGTCCAAGACAGTTGTACCGGTACATCACGAAGCATCGAAGCACTTTGCTCTGGATATATATTCCCCTGCCCCTCACACGCGTGCACTGTTTCTCCAGCGCAGCCAACCCCACGACGGCGACCCCAGTCTGCTTCCCGCCTGGACGGCGTCTAAAGAATGGTTAATTTTGACATGCAGCAGAGATGCGGTGATGGTTGCATCGGATAGCGATAAGTGCGAGCGGGAAGCATCTGGAAATAGACCTCTGCTGCAGGCCAGCACCATTGCTGCATCGCGGCGAGCGAGTCGTTGATGTGTGCTTGCGAAAGGGGGGGTGAGCGACTGGTCGAGCATCCTGGTCGGCGCCTACATGCACCGTGATGTCTGTTCTGATTGGCAACCGACTGGTCCACATCTGGCCACCCGTAAGCGCTTCTTCTGGATATCGCGGCCAAGAAACGCTGCCAGGTCTGCATGGTCTTTACGCGGCTGGTGCTGATATTGGGCAGTTGAAGAAAGAGGAGGAAAGGTGGAGTCATGTGATCTGATTTTGCTGAAGAGTTGGAATTTGGATCTCTCAAGCGCCCAAACCAACAGCGTTAACCGACTTAAAACGCCATTTCTCTGTTACTACTCGGGCTAGAACTGTCTAGGTGTGCTTCCATAATCGATAAGACCTCGATTGCGATTAGGAAATCTTCTCCGAGGGGTGTTGGCTGTAGAACTGCAGCAAGCCGCTTTCCGCCAAACCAACAGAAACGCATTCCAACAGACCCCAATCGTCAGCGAGATGCCCTCCGAATTGTCGCCATCAACTCAGAAATGCTATGACAGCCTTCTCGGTTGGGTTCCCGGAAAATCAAGACCCCTCAAATGCATGTCAGATCATCTACTCGTGTCTATATGTGTCTCAAGGATGTCGACTTCCATATGATTGACTGTCCCGCGTTGCCGACGGTACAATGGACTGGACTCATGAAAAGGTAAGTCGAGCCGCTTCTGTTGTTTATAACTATCTTTCATCACCATCTTTCGACACACCGCCATCAACGCCGCGGGTCTCGCGTTGGAGACCATGAGAGGCTCGGAGCACTCTAATGCACCCACAACAAGCCTCAGCCAACTCCTTACTCAGGTTCGGAAGACTGGTCCATGTCGAACTCCATCAGCAAGTACTATTTGACTTCAAAAGTAAGTCTGAGAATTCAGAGTATGGAAATGGAGATTATGGAATACGCTTAGGAGTGATCTGGCAAAGCCCACACAGTAGAGTTTCCTGCTTGAGAATCGCGAATTCATATTACTCGTAAGTTTTTTATCTTTAATGCTTCTAAAATGCATAACCCGCAGAATTAAGTTGCCGTGGTTCTCCAGCAGCCTCAAATGTTCCATTCTCCAGAACACGAATAGCTTGAGCTGTTGTTGAGCCGACGGCAACAAACGCAACATTAGCACCAATCTCCTTAAAGTATGCAGTTGTCTCGTTACTATATCCGGGAACTCCAAATGCATCCCCGGCATACTCGAAAGAGACTGTATTTGGCGATAACTGGTCGTGAAAGCGAGGTTGACGAAGAGCTTGCGCGGACGTCATCTTCTGATCTATAACATGCCATAGATGTTGAATGATTTCGGTGATGATCCGAGAACCTCCGGCGGATGCATGGGAGATGAAAACCGTTCCATTAGGATACTCAACAATAGTTGGCGAGATAGATGAGAGTGGTCTCTTGAACGGCTTGATGTAATTGGCTTCAGTAGGGATATATCCGAAAGCGTTGGTAGTGTTGGGTACACTGAAATCTGTTGCAAAATTATTAGCTGAAGCCAATTGTGGAGGAATTTAGTATACAGACCGTTCATCTCGTTGTTCATGATCACACCAAGCTCTGGAATCATGAGACCTGCAGGAGGGTCAGGGCGGGTACGGAGAGAAGGCATAGGGGATCTCACGGCTTCCGAATATAGTATTGATCGTACTTGTGCATGCGATGGTTAGTCCGCTCTTATCTGCTGACACTGTTGCTGATGTCCCGTCATCAGTTAAGATGTCGTAGTTGGATGGGTTATACACTGTAGTATTTAGCGTAGCACCTGGTTGTATCAGTGCTCGGATTTCGGCAGCGGTCTTTTCCGAGTACATATCTCGTTGATACTTCGTTAGATTTGGGAGGAAAGTAGCATCTCCAAGAAGAGTTCGCTGACCATAGGCGAATCGCATGGCTTCATCAAGATAGTGTGTGGAAAGGTTAAGCGCAGATGGTGTTGACATGTCATATCCTTCAACGATTTTGAGAGCACTCAGCACAACGGCCCCGCTGGACGGTGCACTTCCAGTGTGAAGTTTGTAGCCCCTGTATGTGATATTTGAGGTCGGTCTGAGCTCAATGGTGTAGTTTGCAAGATCGGCCAGTGTCATCGTGCCATTGGATTTTTGAAGTGCGACAATTGTGGCATTCGCAATTGCACCAGTATAAAAGGCATCGGGGCCATGCTCGGCGATTTCCTCAAGCGTATTTGCATAACGCTTTCTTGTCATGGTGTCGTTCAATCGTACCAAAGTCCCATTGGGAGCAAAGTCAATCGCCCAAGTCGAGTCTTGACTGAGAAAGGAAGCCCCACCCATATACCTTACCAAATCCTCTGTTACTCGAAAGCCGTACCTCGCCAATTTTACGGAAGGCATAACCAGCTTTTTCCAGGGCAAGCAGCCATACTTCTTGTGTAGATACTCGAGACCTCTCAGTTCACCGGGTACCCCGGACGCCAATCCACCGTAAAGTGAGAGGTTCACGTTAGAGAGAGGTGGAGAATACATCAGTTCAAAACTGGCAGCCGGTGCTCTTTCTCTGAAATCGATAAACTCGTAAGACCCATTGCTAGAGCGGACGGTCATGAAACCCCCTCCTCCGATTCCCGAATGATACATTGCAACCACTCCCACGCATAGCTGGGTTGCTACGAGCTAAATTTGAACTTAGTCGATGGGTTTGAAGCTGGATAATATTTACTTACAGAGTCCGCAGCATTTCCACCTGCCTTAAGTATGTCAATCCCAATTTGAGAGCACACAGCCGCCTCAGAAGCAACAGCTCCACGTTTGGCTTCCGTACTGTTATGAGATTTGGGATGGGCGACGGCTAGGCCGACAACACTAAGGCCGAGAACGAAGCTGGCAAGGGGGAACATATTGACAGTTAATTAACGAGGAAGCAACCGATGAACAACAATTAGAAGCGTACGCAAAGAAATGATTAAGAAGTAATAAATACACTGCAAGGCCCGGGCTAACTTTACCAGCCTCTCTCCTACCTTAGCCCCGCATCGATCGCCAGTCTGATAGCGAGTATCTGGGATTTTTAATCACAACGATTAACAATAACTCAGTGCATACCTCCGTAGGCTGACGCGTTGCGGTACCTGGAAAACGTCCCGAATCCGCGGTACCATGTCAGTTTGTCACTTATCCAGACTGCGATTGCGCAAATTGTGCTCGCGGTGGCGTTCTTGTAAGGATTGTGCTTTGAAAAGAAAAATACGGTTTGGAGACAATTCTCAATGAGGAAGCTCGATGACGAGGTTGTAGCTCGAAGGTGGGATGGCGGGTAAAAATCCCCGCTACTGTAGAGACAGACAAGGCTTGAAAATTCACTACGGGTACAGGGCTGGTTGAACAAGCTTTTCAAAATGAAGCCGGTGATTAAGTACCGATAGCATATCAGCGTGGACGCAGCCATGGAGTGTTGTAAGGTACCGAGCGTCAAGTAACAGCGTGTCTGCTATTATTCTTAGATAGTGGACTCATATTCGAGGTCCAGGTCTCAGTATCTCGCTTATGGCCCAGGGTCATTCAAATAGTCGAAATCTGGAAACCTTCATGAATGGATCATTGACCACAGTCAATCCTCATGGTATAATTACTTGCACCGTAGAGTGGAAGGTATCCTAATGAAAACTGACGGTGAGCATGAAGGGTATTCTTGATACTCCTCTTGATACTCCTCAACTCGAGCGCACTTCTTCAAGCCCCCCTCAACACCAAAAGCACAAAACGCCGAACGAATGCACCACCAGTAAATGCCCTTCAACGCCTGCGAGAATATCATACATCATTACATTAGTCCAGGGCCTTGCTGCTTGAACTGAAACCTCCTCAGCTTAAGCTGCATGCTCCTGGCATCATAAGCCTTCTCTTTAGGATCCCAGGCTGCCCTAACATCAAAAACAAGATAGGCTCTTGAAGATTCGAGTTCCACCATTCCTGATACTAATATGCTCCCTCGAGGAGGATAGCTTGGGGCTGGCCGCCAAGTCTGCATCAATTTCGAGCGGAAAGCGAGTAAAGGCGCAAAGAATCGTTGCTGAAGTGCCACCACAGCCTTTTGCGCTACACCAAGCTCTTCGCCCTCAGAATTCTGACCCTGAGAACCAGCTGGCACCGGAGTTGGCACTTTTATGATTGATTTTGAAGCGTCGCCCGTACCTGGAGATAATTGACCCGGCCCATTCTTGTTGGGTATCGTTTTAATCATCTGTTGTTGTCGTGCTAACATTTGATCTATAGACTGAAGTTGCGGATTCTGGGTCTGAATTCCTAGCATCCCAGCAACTCGTTTTGAGTCCTCGACAAACAACACCTTTGTAAAATTCCAGAAAGACTGAACAAGAGCAGACGGCCACAAAACCTGACGAATTTTGAAGACAGTTACGGAGTCTACTGGCATTGTCACCCAAGATATCGCATCGTCCGATATTTCGATTCCTGACCTCTCGAAATCCGGGGGTGGAAACTGTGGGAAGTCGACGTCCAACCAGCATCTCCTCAATCTCAAGTCTTTACCGCACCGCATAGCTAGGACTGGGTGTTTAGCTGCGACCCCTTTAACGAATTGCGCAAGTTCATCTGCGTAGTTTTAGAAACGAAGTTGAAATCTACAACCCTATAAAACTCACCTCTAACTTTGTCTTGTAGTGACCGGTCTTTACTAAATTTGATAAATTCCTTCCACTCCGGGTCGCTACCTCTGTAAGGTTTTGGTCTCAATTGCTTGGTCGTGCCTGGAAATGGTATGAATAATGCCTTCTCTTGCTCCAAATCTTCTGCCGGCATATCCTTCATTTCCTGCTCCAATGCGCGATCGAGGGGGTCCAGTACAACCCTTTCGTAGATCTTTATGCCGACGTATGCAGTGACTACATACGCAACGAGAGGTCTGCGAGTAGGCCGAGTCAGTTATTGAGCTTTATACAAGAAGATAGACATACCTCCAACGAAACCCAGGAGACTTCATGTGAACTCTCTGCACTCTTACGGTCTGTCCTGATTGCGACCCAGTTTGCCTTAACGCTTCCATCCGTATAGGCAGTCGACTAGTAGAGAACATTCCCATGCGGGAACTAGTATAACGAAACATTCTGTGATTAAATGGGTATGGTAGGTAATCGTCAGGTGGCGGATGATGTTCGGGGGTCTGCGAAAGGGTATCGTAACAGTTGATTTTCAGCTAGAATGCGCGCTCGGAAAGAAAACTGATTAGACATTCGTTCAATAACAAAGGAAATCGTTGCGAGACGCAGTGGTGTTGACACGAGAGTCATCTGAATTGTACAGTAGCAACTTGGTCGAGGCTCGCGATGCCTCGAAGTTCTGCCGGGCGGTGGGATTCGGCGGCCAAAAGTGTCTTAGCATCAAAACAGTTATCAGCGGCGAGCTTTGGCATCGTCACCTTGACGAGATTGAGCTTTGAGTGCACAACAAGCAGCTTGTGATCGCCAAAATGAAGCTCTTGACAAGCTTGCTGGTTCCAGCTTTCATCGGCGCAGCTTCTGCTGCCGTCAGTGCTGATGTTTATATTATACAAGGAGAAGAGTCATCAACCCCATCGAACCCTATTACCCTCAATCCAGAACAGGCACGACTTGTCCTTGCGCAGCGCTTAGGCTCTTCACGATACCACGACTTGTCCGGTGCTGACGAAACAACACTGTCCTACATTAACCAATTTGGAGGCGCCCACGAATCGTTATTTGAAGATGTGCCAACAGACAAAGCGACCGAGTTGGTCTTGATTGTGGAGGGAATTGACAAGAATGTCGCTGGACTACTATTGGAATCTTGGGGATCACCGAGGCCCTCCTTTTCGATTGTATCGCCGCCATCGATGAGGGAGAATAAAAAGCTAGTGGATGATCTCAACAAACAATGCGGGCAGGCTAAAGACTGCACGCTCGAGGACGCCATCAATCCTTTTGATGTCAAGTGTTGGAATGGAAAGTCAAAGGCCATACATTACGACCTTGGGGACAAGAAGGCATGTTGCATCGGACTGGGTTTCGATCAGTTGGCTAACAATAGCATTAGGATGAGAGTAAGTTTGATCGAATACTTCATGCACAAAAGAGATTGGCTAGCTGGGCGAAGAAAGGAGAAATGAACACTGTGGTGATATTGATGCCTCAGCAATCGCGCTCATCGAAGACTCCAAAACAGCCTTACGGATCATACGATACTCCTTCTCAAGTCAGTATTGGGAGGAGACAAGCAAGCGAGGAGATCATTTCAGAGTCATTGGCAGTTGCCTCTAGCCCACCTATCATGCCTCCCAAGCCGGCATCGTTCAAAGCGACGAATTCGTCTTCTAATGCAACGCTTGTCGGGCCCCAAAAAGTCTGCCATGCTACCATTGAAGGCTGTAATACTGCAACAAACGGTTGCTCCGGGCATGGGACATGTTTTCAGAAGTACGGCGGGTGTTTTACCTGTGGATGTGTCCCGCAAAACGAGACGTATACCATTGGCAAAGAGAAGCACCAAACTACAGTGTTGTATGGTGGTCCAGCGTGCAATAAGAGGGACATCAGTGGTCCGTTCTGGCTGATAACAGTGTTCACCATTGTCATGGTCGGACTAGTTAGTTGGGCTATCGGCATGATGTTTAGTATTGGTGAAGAAAAATTGCCAGGGGTTATTGGTGCTGGTGTGTCGAGCAAGGCGAGATGAGCGCAATAGATTATGTACGATTTTGAGGAGGAAAGCCAAAGCGCCTTCCTTACGTCTATTTGGGGCAGTCTTTTCTAGGGCTGGGGGCGTTAAGAAGCATGTATTTTATGTTACGCCCAGGGAATGTATAGATCTAAACCAATTTTACCATTAGCAGCCCCACCTCAAATTTGGTTCGGTCGGTTGCGAAGATAAGCTTACCGTGGACTTCCAAGGTTTACCACTTGATACGAAAACACTCTAGGTTTTTCGATCTGCCATATCTCCAATTGCCGGCACGGACCGAGTAAAGAGCAGTAAGCAATATTAGTTAAGGACAGATTGGAACCATCTGTTAGTTAAAGGCTCCTTCACTAGCTGTTTTCAGCGCACATTTCGTTCTGAACAGCTGGTTCTAATGTGGATTGTATTGAGGCTAAGTTGTCGGTGCCTTCTCCTGTGTGGTGTTCTGCCATTGGTATAACAAGACTACAGTAGCAATAGTTAGATTAGGTTCTTGTACAAATGTACCTCTTAACATTTAACATTGAGGCTAATGTACTGTACGTCTAGTGCTGTGTAGCGCCGGTGTACAAGCTGCGGACCGACTGTTTAGTCTTAAGTTTTTGGAGTTAAGAAAAGTTTCTTAGTCGAATAATCGAATTTGAGAGACGAAAGAAGCGCGATTCTGTTCTGGGACATTATTTACAGCCTGGGAAGATCCACCGAAGCTCTGACCTTGCACTCTATTGGAGTCTGTACAGGGCTAAAACACGCGCCGTTCCTGACCCGTCCGGGCGTCCCGGGGTATTTTGAGATTGACGTCAGGTTCTGGGGCCCTAACTCGTAAAGCCGACAACATTCAATCCGCGAATATTCTTCCATCGCATTGTGAGTTCAATATCCATCAGTTGTGGGCGTTTATCTTGATCTAATTGACATACTTACTTTCCTTTTGTATATACTTTTCATCATGCTTTGAAATCATCTACCGCTTTCTTTCCTTCGTTATTCACATCAATACACATCTCACCAGTTTGAAAATCTCCTCCCCTGATATCTTTGACCTCAATCGCTTCAAACATGCTCGAGAGATTTCCTACCGTTCCCACGGGGAAAAAACCAGACGCTGTCCCATGCAACAGCAAAAAGCCAAAGATTCGTCCTCCAAATACGCTCCGGGAGAAAATAATACAGCACCCTCTACCCTATTACTCTGGGCCATATAGTGTGGGCATGATGGACGTTGAAGTACCTGCTAGGGATCCTCGACACTTTTCAGATATAAAGAGAGATCACAAGTATCTATTACAACTGGACACGGTGTTGATGAGCATTTGGTATCCTAGCGGACGGTCCGTTTTCTCCCAATCGCTGTTCAGTGGAGCAAACCAAATAGTTAGGGTTGCTAATACTTGGATTTAGAGGAAACGGACAAGGTCGTTCTCCAGAGGGATTGAAGAAATGGGGGCGTCCCACCTGGCTTCCGCGGCCTCGGATTGAGACAGCAAAAGGGTATGGACGATTCGCATCTTTACCTGATTTTATATCGGTCCCTTTGTTTGGTGCCACCACAGCATTCACAAAAATTCCTGCGTGGAAAAACTCGCCTCTTGCTGAACATTGGCCGCCGGAGGAGAATTCCTACGAAGGAGGTTACGAGGTAAAAACTCGCCTGGGAAGAGTCCCAACTGGGGAAACCGAATCGCCGGTATTTCCACTTTTGATATTTAGCCACGGGCTTGGAGGAACTAGAACGACATATAGCAGTCTGTGTGGAGAATTTGCCAGTTACGGGTTCATTGTAGTGAGCGTAGAACATCGTGACGGTTCCGGTCCGCGAAGCTATATCAACTATCCGAAGGACTCCCCCAAAAGCCAAGAAGGATATTCTAAAATCGATTATGTATTCCCAGAGAACAATCCCATGGACACAGCGCCTGGAAACAAACAAGGTGTAGACTCAGCATTAAGGTCTGCACAGATCCAGCTCCGACTAGCAGAGATCGAGGAGGCATACCATGTCATGACACTCATACATTCGGGTCGTGGCCACGAAGTTGCAGCTCGAAACCTCCGACACAAGAATCCAAAGGCAAAATCACCTATTGGTGCTTCGTCACGCGGATTGCTGGGAGTGAATTGGGAATCATGGAAGGAACGTTTTCATCTTCGACAAGTGACAATGATCGGTCACTCATTTGGCGCAGCCACTACAATAGAAGTTTTACGACATCAGGATCGGTTCAAATACGTTGGTCAAGGCATCATTTACGACATCTGGGGTGCTGCAATACAACCTCCGGAAGAAGAACCAGGACATCGAATCCATACACCGCTCCTAGGAATCAACAGCGAGGCCTTCATGTACTGGAACGACAATTTTGAGTCAGTAATGAAACTATGTAAAGAAGCCAAAGACCAAGGCGCGTTGTGTTGGCTCATGACGGTCCGCGGCTCAGTCCACCTCTCCCAATCCGACTTCACGATTCTGTACCCGAAAATATGCAGTCTCTTCTTGAAAATGACGGTCAATCCCCGTCGAGCCATCGATCTTAATATCAACGCTTCTCTGGAATTCCTACGACACGTCATGCCTGACCGCATCTCAGCCATGAACCGAGGAAGAAATGAACATCTCCTTGATGTCCGCACCCTGGACAAACTGCCCGCAGAGCACAAACCTGATGAACGTTGGATGGCTATGAGATTGCGTATACCGCATGAAGCGAGAATCCGGTTGACGCCGAGATGGATACGACGGGCTGTCCGAAAGAAGAGGTTGGAATCTAAGGCGGATGGAAAGCCCATCAGCAGCTTACCAAAAGATCCGTTGGGGAGGGTATTAGACGGGCTGGAGAGTTTGGAGATGGGCGATGAGGTTTGGATGCATGTTGCTCCTACTAAGGAGGAACTTGGACGTTGGGGTGTGGAACTGGATGGGAGTCATGGGCATAAATATCCGGAAGGTCCTAAAGACAATGGAGACCAGGTGGATGGAAATGATGGAAAGGAAAAGGAAGGACGTGATGAGAGCCATGAAAGAGATCATGCTTCGGATGGGGTTGATAGGACGGGCGGCATGGTTGAAGTTACGGGCGATGAGGGAAATGATCCAAGTGATCCCAATGTCCATAAAGGTCTTGAACAAAGGTACATGGACAGGGGATAATGGTTGGGTATCATTGGATACTTGGTCGTTACGGACTTTAATTGGAGATGTCATGGTGTCCTGGTGTCTGCTTGGGGTTGGGGTTGATACCTTTCTTTTTACCCCTTATTGTTATGTACAAGTTAGACGTATGAAGGCTTAGACTACAGGGAGCTAGGAAAGATAGTTGACTGAAAAAAAAGCGTAAAAAGTTTTTTCACAATACTTCTATCATCCTTTTCAGCGGGCTTTCCTAGAACTTATCGTCATGCTGCTCCAGAGCGTGATGCTGCAAAATGAGCTCTACTAGTCGATGAATGTCGTGATACTATCATTTCTCTTCACCATTTCTTTAGGCAACTTTCCTCGCTATTTCAAAATCAACTACAATTTTCATTGAATGTCCTCCCAATAAAATTATGAATGCATGAATGTATTTCTCCGAACTGTATCTTGATCATCTCATACGCATCTTCACACTAGACTCCTGCTTTACCTGTCCTGTTTACTATTTCATTGGGCCAGCAGCGATTCCCGAAAGATAAATCTTTGGCTCAACCTAGTTCACCTGATCCACTCTCAAACGTTCAAGTCATAATATAACCAGCAGCTCTGCCAACCAGAGAATTTCTCTGATCATTGGTAGAAAGCAGCGATTTGGAAAGGGAGTCGATGATCAGTATTGTGAAGGTATGAAAGATACCTTACCGCAAGAGGCGTGCTATAAACCTTTCCAAGTCTCGCAGCTGGCAATAAACAAGCCACCGAACTTGACGACCTCGAATTTTGTCATTGACAGCTCCTTTTGGGTTATTCAAAGACCATCCACCAGATCAGCTAAAATTCAACATTTCCACACTACCCAACCACATGAAGAATCAAAAGTCCCGCATATCACTTCCCAATATCGCCATGTCTCTCCCCAATCTCACCATTCTCTTAGCTGTAACCACACATCGCGCCCTCTATGATTTAAACCAAGTCCCCGATGAGTCGGATACGTACCTCAAGTAGGCCCGAGAAAATCTCTACGTGTGATGCAGAGTTTAAGATTACATTTTACGAATGTGGCCAGGAGTACGACATGACGCAGAGAAATCTGTGCCACGGAACGCACGAAGTCGATGTTACACTATAACAGCGATATAACGTGTGGTACATGCGTTGATCATGGTACGACGTGCGAGTCATAATGGACTTCGATGTGTGAGGAGTTTGGTGGAAATAAGCGATACTGAGTAAGGTGTATGTGGTGTTTTGTGAGGGTTTGGACGTCTGCCATTTAGCGGTAAACAACGAGTCAATGGTTGTTTGCAGCCTTTCCAATTCAAGATTCGCTTGCGAGCGAAATCAACATGCTCTTAAGTTGATTCGAGTACTCAAATTGAAAGACTCTGGGTGCCTATTGTGAAGTGTGAGTAACGAAAGGATATTTGGGTGTTAGAACACTTCAACCCATCCACACACAACAGTCTCACTTGGCCATTTCAGAACTCTGTTCTACCGTGTTTGTATGACCATATATGCGAGAATAATATTCAAATCTCCGCTTGGCGGTTTTGAAGACGGTCAAACGAACTTCCAAAAACATAGGTCTATGGCGTAATGATTTCGGAGTGGCTTACCGACCCTGCCATACCAGCACTACTGCAGATGGAATAGAGGCAAAACATAATCTGTGTTCTGAGAGGCACTTGTAGTTATTCCTTTGGCATTAGCTCATTGTGAGAAGTGATCGGAAGCATAGCACTTAGTGCGAATGCTGAAAGGGTCCGTGGTATGGGATTTGTTGACTTTGGAAAAGCAAGAGAATAATTGGTCTCTCAGGTATTGCACGACTGCAAGGGCAGTTAGTATCTCATCTTTTACATGTCTAATTTCGAAACATCAGAAAGTAGTCGGATTTTGGATACAGCAAGCACTAGTTGTAAACACAGGGTCAGCAATTCGCTGTTGTAAAAGTCCAGTGGTATAAGTACAGCATTGCTTGACATGGCTTACTCCGAGTATGCTCATTCAATCACTCGCGGTCCTAACGTACCCGGGTCCCGCACGTTGACATCCCGCTCTGTGCGTATGTCTAGCTTCAGAGCCGCACTAGCGTCCGTGTTATGGCAACGCTTTCAAGTTTAAGCGATCCGCTCAGACAAACATAGAAATTTAGAAAGCACAGTGAAAATTATCATCATGAGTTCAGAAGCGAGTGAGAATCCATCAGCTGGGGCTAAGCCTGTTTCAAGTTTATAGTCGGTTTCACACGGGTGTGTTTGCTTTGCACGCTTGGATAAAAGTACTCGAGTAAACTTGCATATGGGCCTGGCGGGTAACCATACTCTAAGAAATACGATGATCATCGCGGCAACAACCTACCGAGGGATCACTCCTCCTAAATTCGGAGGCTGAAGATGATCTCGTTGTAGAACCGTACAGAAGGAAGTCAGCATGTAACCTCTTCGCGGCTATGCTTGTAGAAATCTTTGAAAGGGCGAAAGGTTGCAACGTGACTTGAGAAGGCACGCACATCGTAGTTCTCCAGTGCCCTCAAATACTACAAGTGACGTAAGTTGAGGTCGTTATGAATTCTGACGATAAAGTTCTAGATCTTATTCCGCCCGTAGCGCAGAGGCAAGAAGTCGTGAAAGTGTTATTCGACGCTGTGATACTTCCCCACGCTGCCATCTTCCAACGCCATACTTGCAGTATGCGAGACTTTCGAAAAGGCTAGGTGATTTCTCATCCCGTAGTAAGGCTTGGACGTATTTTCGCGGTCACTTAAGTGCGCTTAGCTTTTCGTCTGTCGGTTCCGGAAAGTGTATGCTGGAAACGGAAAACTCGTCTGCTTCAAACATGTAGAAACACTGGGTCGTGTTGTTTCTACCGTACTCCACTGATTCGTTTCCACAGTTCTACGTCTCTTCGAATCTCGGAAACTATGTCGGAGAAACAGTCGTGGTCATTGTGGGAAATTTTCTAAGACATCCTGTGCTGGTCGAGTCGGCAGAAATGGCGAGAGGGATTATTAATGTGACACTTGATTGCCCCTTCCAAGGGCCGGAATAAAGTGTGGACGAAGCACTCTGCTGCAGTAGGCCGTTAAGCTATGGACAGTTGGGTCGCGGCGGCGTGGTACTCGGGATGATTTGGATTGCGTTAAGATCCGGGTCGAAGTGAAGATGTTCGGGAGGGCACGAGAAAGGCAGCCCCGCCTGACCCAGGAACCAGGCTAAGATCGTCAGATTCTTCTGGTGCAGGCACGCCGAATCCAGGGCGCAAAGGACGAAAATAGCGGGGGCGCAGGGGGGAATGCAGCATGATGATGATCTGAAAGCCAGCAGTTGGTGTGAAGTTGTGGGCGGCTTACGCTTTTCAGGGGGTTGAAGATCCCACTACGACGATCCTAGCTGGGAGTGCCGTTCTTGTTTCGCCAGTTGTTCCTGTTGCTGTTCCGTTCCTGGCCTGAGCCCCCACGACGGTGACTTTCCTTCGCACCTTTCGTAGTAATTTCGTACTCGTAGCGTAGTTGCAGAATCCGTCACTGGTGGGTGAGGTTGAGCAGACTCAGGGCAGGCGCATGAGAGGCAGCTCGAGTGTACAGAAGCCAGGACAGGAAGGACAGTCGGCGGTCGGAATAACGATAACTCTACCCTCCATCCTCGTGCCCGTTCATGCCTTGGGTTCTTCAGTTCCTGTGATCCCCTTCTATTCAGCCTGTTTTCTCCTCTTTTGAAACGTGCATGTCGATGAACTGCGGCTGTTTACCTGCCAAACAGACCATCAGGGCGATGAGTGGTTGTTGCTTCCCAACTCTTTCGCCTCGTGGCGTCCATCTCGCCGTATGTCAATATACGTCGCATCCACGATGGCGCTGCTCGATGTCTGATCTCTGGGGTACAGAGCATCGATGGTTCTGAGGCCTTTCTCGATGTTGGTCCGCGTCGCCTTGGCCATGGCCGGTGCCATGTATCTTCTCGTATTGCCCAAAGATACGGGTATCCTCGATGCGCTTGGTCGAATCGCAATGGCGCAAACGCGCCTACTTCGATCCGCTCTCCAGCTGGTGCATCCCAAGCAATAAACCTGCACAGGAGCAATTCTCCATTCGGAATTCTCTGTCACGTCGTTCGCAGATGGTTCCGCAGCGGCAGCATCTGTTGGTGGCGACAGAGGAAGAAGTCGTACGAGACGGAGAAAGAGATGCACCGCGCCAGCGAACGGTGCGGTATTGCGGATGGGTGAAATAGTATTTTGACTTCGATTTTTTGATATCAAAATGTTGCCAGAGGGTTGCGGTAGTTGATGCCGACTCTCCTCGATGCCCCGGTGAGCCGTCACCGGTGGTCTTCGATGGCCGCCCAGCCCGTCGTGCCCCGTCCCCGTCTGAATCTGTCTGAATCTGTCTGAATCATCGCTTGCTGACCCTAGAGACTCGTGCGTCGCCTAGACCAGGTTTGGTGTGCTGAACCCCTGTCCCATCGCCAACACCCAACTCCACCCTGCGAGACGAAGCAGAGAAAAGTGAACGACCGTGAGCATGAAGTACAGTACAAGTATTTTCGTTTTTATTACCTCCCATCAACCACACGCTCCCCTCTTTGCCTGGCAAAGACTCTGTTCTCTCTTCCATCTTCTCCAGTCAACCATTCTAGGCCTCCCAAGATTCCACATGTGAATCCCTCCTTCTATCTTCTTGCTTCCCGTTCACCTCACACTCGTTTCCTGCGTCACTAGAGTCCCGCTGCTCGGTGCATCACTTTTCCATCGAGTGACGACAGCATGAAAGTCCCCGCCTTGGCCATCTTCATCCATCAAAAACAGCAGTAACAGGTCGCCATTTCATTACTGCTGGTTCAGTATTTAATTACAACAGTTCCGTCACTTCGCACAATCGTAGTCTCGCGCCAGTCTCACCCAGGGCACACCAAGGCTATCTCTGCTAAGTGAGCTTCGGTTGCTGAATCTATATCCCATTCTGTCGAGAAATTGTATTCGCTACGCCAGGCCACCTTTAGCTTCCCATCATGGCACCCTCCGAGCATAATAACAAGCAGCCTTTGCTGGCAAGACGTAACACGTTCCAGCGAATGCTCGACCTGGAGAGAAAAAACAAGGTAAGTTTATTGGCGAAGAAGCAAAAGCAGACCGCTCCAGCGGTATTGGTTCCTGGTTGACGAGTTCATGCAGGTCAATCGAATGTCAACTGCGCCGCCAGTCATTCCACCAATGATACCCCATTCACGAACAAATAGCGTTGTGACAGATGGGCTTTCAACTCCAGACGGACGCCCAACAATGCTAGTAAACCATGGTCGCGCTTTGAGTACTCCTGTGCTTTCAGTTGCGATCCCACGGTCCGACATGGCCGTGGATGGTCCTACGAAGAAATACATCATTAAGGCAGGAAATGTGGTCCCACAGCACCAAGGAGAAAATGATGGCAATGACTCTGACCGGTCATCGATATGCCACTCTCCGGGTTGGGACGATCTGTCAGGAAACAAGAAGAAAAAAGAGAAGCAAGCCGCCAAGGACAAGAAAAAGGCAGAGCTCAAGAAGCTGGAGACCGAGGCCAAACATGCTACCAAAATGAAGAATCGATTGAGCAAAGCTCCCCCAACAAACCATCATTTTAACAAAATTGCAAACCCAATGGACCGATCGACATCCTCCCCTGGCATATTGACTTTAGCGGATTCTACCAAAACTTCGCCAGCAAAGGAAGGGCCACCTAAGTCCAAAGGCACACGTTCACGCCGGGGCAGCATCGATGCGGGTATTAAGAGTTTTTTTAGTGCCACTCAAGCCCTTCCGTCGTTGTTCTCCAAGAGCAGTCACAGTACTCCTGCGTCTGCCGTGACCCCACGAGAAAGTACTTCTCCAACAAACAATGCCAGCAACGCGTTTACTGGGGGCCTCAAGCTTAGAATGTCGGAGGAAGCTGCGGTGCAGGATAAGGCGCGCTATTCAATGAGTGCTGCGTTGAATGACCGCACGTCTCCTTCAGATGGTGGAAATCCAAACCTTATGGGCAAAGGCGCGGCGACGAATTATTCGCCGGCGACCAGCAAGGTTGGAAACTCTTCTGATAAATTCCCAAGGTCACACCCCAAGAAAGAATCCCCACAAGATGATAACGTACGGACGCCGCAACAATGGGACGACATATATATGCAAGCTGGGAGAATGGTCGCAAATGGTAATGGCGGAAATCCAAACCGCGGATCTGTGACAGACAACGTCAAGCACAGAAATACTCATCAATCAGCACAGTCTCTGTCATCGGGATACGCAAATATCCCAAATGACATGCAAAGTTACGACTCTCCGGGATCGTCAGGACGGGACTCATCGAGGGCAAGCAAGTTTAGGTTTTCTCGTCCAGGAACGAGTGAGGATACTACGAACTATTCTACAAGGGGCTCTTCACCACACTCGGTTGATAAGAAGTCTCCCAAGTCACGGAAGCACTCGGTTGATTCCGCGAACGGTCACGTTTCACAGACCTACGTCCAGAGTCAGCGAATGCAAAGGAACGATCGCGGCATGGCTGCTTTCCAAGACGAATACAAAGATAGACGTTCTACTGATTCTGCGGTGGTACGGAGATCATCCTCTTTCCATTCAACAAAAAGCCGAGCAAGTATTGATGCAACCGATATTGCATCAGGTCCACTTTCAGGCAACCATCCTTCGACGGCCACCGCTAGCGAGCTCAAAGAGGATTTTGCAATCTTCAGCGACTACAAACCTCCCGCTCTGTATTTAGACGACCTTAGCCCTAGCTCGGAAGGCTTGACTCCGCGTGATGATAATCCGAATAGTCTTGGAGGTCTTAAAGGTCTTCGAGTCGCTTCCAAGTCGCCTTTTTCGAGATCTCCTACCGCCTCACCCATTGCACACAGTTTTGTCTCGAGTAACTTCGATGTAGACATTCGACCTGCGTCTCAACGTGCTGCTACACTTCCTTTGATGGAAGGGATCAGTCACACAGGAGCCGTAAACAAACCTGAGGTAACGCTTGGCGAATTTGTACCTTCAGCGCAGGTCTCTCCCCAGTCACTTCATTCTCCGAGCACATTTGACGCAAGCTTAAAGCGTACCAGGGAAGTCGGCCCCGTGGAAGTGAATCACAGACAGGGCGCCGGTGCCAGTTCCCATACCAGGACAGCGACTGACTCAAGCGAAGACTCTAATCTAGAGGAGTTTTCCAACCTTACTACACCAATGGCTTCACGGCCTCATTCACAGACTTCACGGCCTCAATCGCAAAAGGATTACTTTCCACAATTGAGCGAGATCACCTTGAAGGCTCCGAAAGCTAAGCCTGAGCCTGTCAAGACCCCAAGCTCCACCCCGAAGAAGAGCAAGAAGGCCGCCATATTGAGTGGACCAATTCCACTAAGACCATACGAAAATGAAAACGGTCAGCAAGATGGATGGAGCCGCACTCCATTGCCATCTGAGTTGGAGGAGGCTAAGCGGATCCAAGCCTCCAATCCAAAGAGGTCATTCTTCAGAAGTTCAGCAGCGCCCACGATGCCCGTGCCACCAGTAACGAGTTCTTCACGACAGTCCGCCAAGCTCGACCCTGCAAAGGAGAGCAAATCTGCCAGCGCTTTGCAACGTCAGTTGAGTCTATCGCGTTCAGCGTCAACGCCAGAACTTCAAGATCTCAGCTTCCTCCCAGTTCTCAAACATCAACCTCTCACAAAACCGACCAATAAAAAAGAGAAAACAAGTTCATCTAATAAAAAGGGGAAGCAGCCAGCTCCGCCTCAAGATCCGGTCACCCGAGATTTGATTAAATCTCCACCAATCCTTTTATCCTCTCCTGCATCAGAAGGCAGCAGTCCTCTCTCACCTTCTGGTGGTGCATACCTGAGAGATGCACGCATGAGCTTGCCACACCTTCCTTCTTCGTCGCAAAAATCGCCCAAACAAATTCGATTCTCAAATATTCCTTCGTCGCAACTTGCCAGTCCGGGCTTGCAATCTGAGCCAATGGCTAAAATGTTCGTGGTCTGTTGCTCATGCAAATACTTCCACGACATGCCAAGCAAAATATATGAATGTATGGCGAGACCGGATAATGTCGTCGAGGACCGAGATTTAGGTGTCAGCGGTGTCATCAGCACAAGTGTAAAATGCCCTTGGTGCGCCCATGGTATGAGTACTGATTGCTGTGCGGGTTATGCTGCCGTGGTATACTTGAGGGAAAAGCTGCATTGAAACAGTACAGAAATTGTGCCCCGAGACTGCTGGAAAGTATGTCTACGATAGGCTTGCGGTGAGTGCATGAAATACAGATGCTGTGTAACGTGTGTGTCCTGGGAATATTGGGCAGATGAAGGGAGTAAGAAGAATCTATTATTGGAATGATGACGAACCCTTTTTGGTATTTTTGCTTTTCTTGTGGGCGTCCAAAAGAGGTCGCAGGCTTATTGCATGCATTGGGATGTGTGTGCGGGATTCTTTAGAAGTATTAAGGCGTGTGTCTTTTTTTCTCGCAATCAGGCTGGTATGGTAATGAAGGTGCTTGCTTAATGAGAAACGTATACGTTATAATGGCGCAAGGGATAGACGATAGGGGATAGGGACGTGTAATAACTGTATTATATATCATTACTATTTGAAAATGCTTACTCTTTTGGTACATATGCGTTTGTCGAATCCATGCATTGTGATCAACCTAGTAGTTCGTCTTGTATTGCATATTTCCCAACCCCCTAGTTACCACTATGCAAGCATTCAAATCTTCGACAGAGACAGAAGGTTGCGGTTTATAGTGAGAGACTCGTATACCTAGCCCGACCGCAATGATGCCATCCTTGTCGTTCCGCGATGTTTAGCTTACAGTAACTCACATGGTTTGAACGGAACGACGAGAGTATTAATGAGATATTGTTGGACTTTCAAACATTTTTAATGCGAAAAGAGTTTCATGTTTAGTTTTTTCCCTTCCACTTTGTCTATCTAACATGTCAATGTCTTCCGCAGTTCGTGTGAGGAAAACTGCTTTGAGTCATGAGATTTTTGAATAGCATTAATTTCGCTTTTTCCCACCACGAATATTTTCCAGGTTCGAGCTAACTATGGTGAGTTTCTGGTATGTTACGTGGGAAGTTGAAATTTCTGATGCCGAAGAAAGTCACTCACAACTTCTCAATGCTTCGCTCATCATTCTGTCTTGAAGTTTTGCTGTTCATGCAAATTTGAATCCTGATTTCGGTGTGATATATCTTTGTCCCCGGTACTTCTTTTGATACTCCTTCAATCACGTACCTGAAAGTTCGATAACCTATTGTTGTAGGCTGTCAAACTTGACGATTGCTTTTCCTTTTTTTTGGTTGATGTTTCAGAAGAAGATTTGTTGAGTGCGATATTATCAGAGGATAGTGTTAACCTCACTCTTTGGGATATGCGCTCTGTCAATATGTCTTGGGAGTAGGACTAACTTGATTTGGAAGCCAGATTTCCCAGTCACCTACGTTTCCTATCGACAGTGCGACATGTTTCTGTAAAGCCTTGAAGAATGAGCTAGGTGTTTGAAATTATGAGTCGATGGCCTCAGCTGCTAAGACTATTTATGTTGACGGACTTGCTTTCTGGTTCAATTGATAACGAAGATTTTCAGTCAAGTCATATGTGGCTTATGGATTTCTGCTATTTCGTTTATTGCATTGCGAATAACACATGTCTAAGACTAGTAACTTCTCCAGTTTTCATCATGACGACTAGCACAGTCTTAACAGATAAAGTGAACTTCTACAAGCAACTATAAATTAATGCTATCTCCAAAGTCACATAACGAACTGTTCAGCTGATGTGAGGAACATGACTCTAACCTAGGTTCCGATGAACTTTTTCTAAAGTCTGCTTTCACCTCTCTGATTCGCAAGGTACCAGATAAGGTTGTTTGGGCGAAATCGTGGATAAACGGAGCTTGTGTGCCATAAAGTGTCAGCCCGGTTGGTAATTCTGAACTTGTATGAATCGACTTCTGCGAATGGACTTCTGCGAATCGACTCATACGAACCCACTTCCAAGAATGCAATGACATTTCGACCTTGGTATCTAAACTTTTTGAAAACTCTCTCACCTTCAAACACTCTAGTTTTTTCTCAGAATCTAACATTCAATATCGCCGATGAATCCCTCAACTTTCACTGGGCTTCCACTTCATTCCACATATATTGAATACTCTATTGATTTATATTTTGGGGTCTAGAGCGGGAAGTATATTTGTTTTATGGTTTTAATGGGAAAGAAAGAAGAACGACACTCATTATTATGTTAGAGTTGTAGTGAGTTCGGAAATTTGAGGATGAAATTAAACCAGAATGATCTTTATGATCACAGAAATACAGCAAAAATATCTAATGTCTGCTAATGACCATATTTAGTAGCGTTTGTAGCTTAGCGTCTTGTTACTTGTATGAATTCGAATTTCTAAGTTTGCATTTTCAAATGATTTATTGTTTGTTACATGTTAAGGAAGATTGGCGATTCACTATGTGATACTCTTTTTGAAACTAGGAGGTACCCTTCCACATCCAACATATAGTTAGATATGTGTGGGTAGATAATTCAATAGTCTTGTAATTTTGTCAAATTTCTGAGAAGGCATAAGATAATTTGCCTTAGCCGCATGCTCATATGTTGTCCTAATTGATGAGGGAGTAGCGAAAGATGGCGAACTCGGTAAGGGGTATGTGAGTTCCATTCAAAGATTACTATCAGGAAGGTAAGTGAACACAAGGAAGGAGGAAGAAAAGAGTATTAAAAGATCTTAGGCAATTTTCGTAGTGAGCCATTCACTTACTGAATTACAGCTAGCTATAAGTGAAGCTCGTTCAAATCCTACTGTCTCTCTTTCCAGCATCTACCACTCGCCTCTTTCAACACATGTGAATAGCTTCAGGTAAAGACTGTAAAGGAATCTCACATAACAGTCTTATAGTTACTGAAATTCAAAGACCTGAAAATTGACTAACACCGAAGTAGATTACTATCTTCTAGGAAAGATTCAGTTCACAATCATAAGATAATAGCTTAATTGAGTGACTTCTAGGCCCCCAGAAGAAGAATTAAGAGCCAGCAAAGAAGGTGATGCTTCAATTTACCATCTCATAAAACGGTCGATTCTGCTACGTAAAGACTTGTTTCGTGAGATCTGCACACCGAGATGAATCGATAGAACTCAGTCCGTTCTTTCGGGCACGGCTCGGGATCTTAACGGTGACAAGCTGAAATGTCGCCACGCGTGTGCTTTCTCCTTCTCACTCACATTTCCCTCGTAGGATCGCTTGGAGCAGCCACACAAGCAGTCTTTCTCCTAGTCGACCAAACGTTTGGGTATACCGAAATGGAACCGAGTGCGGTTGAGAAAGAATATCCGGAAGTGTGGGAAGAAAAGTGTACAGCCGCCATTACATTTTAGCCGTCACGGGCTCCCCTGGAGAGAATCGTATTTAGCCTAAACAGATCTGCTGTGGTGCCGATCATGAAGCCTGCCGATTCGATAGGCAACGTCAACTCTGAGAGGCTGAACCCGCAAAATCTCCAGAGATCTCGTCTTTACCCACCCCGAGCGTCCATGTGAGTTGGGCGAGAGCTAGTCTTGGCGTGCTCGTCGACGGATTCCTCATGATAAGAGGGTGATGAGGAGGCAGATGGAGCTTGCCGGGAAGAATTTTTCGAAGGTCGTAGAACGATGAGTGTATTTACTAGGAAGCGACCTGGAGAACTGGTGGGGTCTTGGACGAAATGATGGTCACAAGAGGGGGCGAGTTCTGGGAGTTGTGGTCGAGATGATGCATATATAAAAGCAGACCCCCTCTTTCTCAATTGTCCTCGTGCAGCCAATTCATTGAAAGTGTTGAACAGTTTTCATGCGATCCTTCCGATTCCTAGTACGGTAAGAGACTGATTCACGCGTCTCTATTTTTGTGTTTACATTTTGCATTGGCTAATAGATTGTGTGCTGAATAGTCCTACTACGCAATACCTGCAGCCATCAAATTTGCCCCGCCTTAAATCGTTTACTACCCCTCCACCAACTTCCTCCCCAAGTTTCTCCGCCAAACAATCAAGTAACTTCTTTCAACCTCGATCTTTCGCATCTTCAGCAATCATGTCTGGACCAACTTTGAAATTGAACAGTGGCCATGAGATGCCACAGGTTGGCTTTGGTCTCTGGAAGGTAGACAACGCCACCTGCGCGGATACTGTATATAACGCCATCAAGGTGGGATACAGATTATTTGACGGAGCATGTGGTATGTTTTTGTAGGAAGAAAAAAAGGAGAATAAAATTCCTGACTTTGAACTTAGATTACGGAAACGAGAAAGAAGCCGGAGAGGGTGTTGCGCGAGCGATCAAGGAGGGTCTTGTGAAGCGCGAGGACTTGTTCCTCGTCTCCAAATTATGGAATTCTTTCCACGACGGAGACCAAGTCGAACCAATTGCCAAGAAGCAACTTGCAGACTGGGGTATTGATTACTTTGATCTGTACATTGTCCATTTCCCAGTCTCTCTAAAATTCGTCGATCCATCCGTAAGATACCCACCAGGATGGGAGGACGAGAACGGAAAGGTCACCCCAGGCAAAGCACCAATTCAAGAGACATGGACAGCAATGGAGAGCTTAGTCGAGAAGGGATATGCCAAGTCCATCGGTGTCTCGAATTTCCAAGGTTCCCTGCTCCTCGATCTCCTCCGCTACGCAAAGATCCGTCCAGCAACCCTCCAAATCGAGCACCACCCATACCTCGTCCAAAACACCCTCACCACACTCGCAGAGGCGGAAGGAATCAAGGTTACCGCATACTCCTCTTTCGGACCACAATCGTTCATCGAGCTTGGTTGGGATAAGGCGAAGGACACTCCAGTTCTCTTCGAGCACCCAGTTATCACCAAGTTGGCTGATAAGTACAAGAAGACCCCGGCACAGGTCTTGCTACGATGGGCTACCCAGCGCGGATTGGCTGTTATTCCAAAGAGTAACAATGCCACTCGCTTGGAGCAGAATTTGAGCGTTACCAGCTTTGATCTTGAGAAGGAGGAATTGAAGTCCATCAGCGATCTTGACCGTAATTTGCGATTCAACAACCCTACTGATGTAAGCCCTTTCACTCCTAAATTTACTTGGTTTGTTACTAACACATTCGATGCAGTATCTCGGCACACTCCATATCTTTGCTTAGAGCAACAATACCAGCCATTTTTGTTTTTAGTTTGGCCTACGAAGCATGACTGATACGACGAAGAGCAATAGAAGGAATTTGTTATAGCACGTCTCCCTTCTTGTAATTATTACACCCAAGGGATTGTCTATAGTAGCAGAGCGAATGAATGATTTCTGGACTCGAGTCATTGCAACCTATCAAGTGTGAAATTGTTTATGGTATGTGAAAGAGCATGTGAAAAAAGTTTAACAGTCGGTCAGCGCCCGCTTCTACAACGAGGGTAACTGTGTATTGGCGTGTCTCTGACCTACAAAGTAACTTCAGATGAGATGCGAGTCTTGAACCACATCCATGTCAGACAATTCACTGGTAGGAAGAAGTCAACCAGTTGATCAAAGGATAAAACAACCTCGGGTGCTGAAAATGATATCGTTGACTGAAGAGTGATATTTGCATTGCGCTCAAACATATCTATGGTATGCAATCAATCAAATGCATAAACATATCTGCAACGGTGACTTCCTGCTTCTATAGCCAATCTTGATGCCAGAACGCCAGAAACTCCGAAGCCGTGCTCATCATATATTCGTATTTTGCATGCCAGAACGCCGTCGCTATGTTCATGAAACTCTCACAAATGCTGCGATTAAGTTAGCACTATGTTTCAACATCACAGGACTGGGGACAACATACTGGCATCAATCTGCATGACTTGTGGTAAAGTCAAGCGGACCTTGTTCCGGTACAAGGTTGGATTTCTGAGTTGTAAGGGATTTCCCTCAAAATAGACAGTGTTCAACTTCTTGCGCTCTTTCAACTCTTCTTCAATTTCTGCAATATCACCAATTTGGTTATAGCTTGCCCAGACCTCCTCTAAATCTTCGAGGTGCTTGAGTCCTTTAATACTTGTAATTTGATTGTTGCTGACATCTAGCACCCGTAAACCCATAACCTTCTCAAGCCCAGACAGGCTTGTGAGGGCGTTATGAGAGATATATAATTCTTCAAGATGTGGAAGGTTGTCCAGACCGGTGATTCCGCGGATTCGGTTAGACTGAATACTCAAGATTTTGAGGTTCTGGAGACTGTCGATGTTGGAAATCTGGGTAATCTTGTTCTTCCCTAACCACAATTCTTCCAGGCCAGTCAAAGTTTCTAGATTCTCAATCTCTCTAATTCGGTTGGCAGCAAGCTCGAGATTTCGCAATTTTGTAAGACCTTCCAGATTCTCGATCTTCCCAATTTTATTCTGCACAAAATATATATCCGTTAGATTTGTAAGATGGTTGACTTTCTTGATGTGCTTGATCTTATTGAACGAGAGATCCAGACTGGTAAGATTCGTCAAATCATCTAACCCGCGGATATGTGCAATCAAATTGTCGTATAGGTCCAGTTCTTTCAACGTTGCGGCCAGACATGAAAATCCCTCGATCTCAGTGATTGTATTCTGGCGGAGGCATAATCGTGCGACGGCTGTGAATCGTTCGAGACGGAGGAGGGGTACTGAAGATACGCGGGCATGGACGCAGTCTATTTCTTCCGTGTCGAGAGGGTAGTCGTCGAGGAGATCTGGGTAGCGAGGTTTGTTAGCTGGACTGATTCTACATATGCAATTATCAAGTGTGAGTACAGGATAAGGAATTTAAGAACAAGCGTTGTGAAAACATTGCAGTCCAAATGAAACGATTTACTGTTCCCCATAGCACAAGCAATGTGCTGTCGCTTCATCAAGGAACCCCGCCATTTGTAATACAAGCAGACAGGAATTCATACCTTCGTCCGCCTCAATAGTCTCTCCAGAAAGAACCTGCTCTTCGTCTGAATATTCTGGATCCGACAATGCCTCTGGATTCACAAGTTCCAGCTTCTTTTCTAATCGCAGCTTTCCATCCCACCCTGTACTGCTCTTTGGAGTGCCACCACCGGGAGAAGAATCACCCTCATGACCCTTGATATCGTCGAGGTTTATGGAAATTCGCGGAGGGGTATTTTCGTTGTCTGAAGTAGTCATTTTGTTGGTATGGTCAAGAAGTGTTTTGAAAAGGTAGTCTGGTATGCCGATATGGAAACCGCTCAACCCATGGCGTGTTGGCAATCAGTCTGTTTTGAGCAACTCGCGAGAAAGTTCCAGGCGCGAATGCTGAAACTGACAGGTTCAATTGCGGGACCAGAAAAGCGGCGTCCAACGGCTGCAGCTTCACGCCAAGCATCGCGACATGTACGGTGCCGCCTTGTTCAACAGCAACGACAGGTGGGATTATTCGTCTCCCACTCGCCATCCTTCTTCTCGTCACTTTATATTGATTTTCTCCCAGTAAGAAAACAACAAATAACGCAACATGCACTGTTTGGTTTGATAGGACATTGCTCGTACGCCATGTTGTCGTTCTACCAGAAGCAATCCCAAGTTCACATGTCACAAGCATGGAAATATTTCGACTGATCAATCGAGGGGTATCCCGACGACAATCTGCGTTCTTCCTCACCACTCGACGCAGTGCACCCTATCCACGGGAGATACTACCTTTGGTCAGTCTTTTGGCCCGTTCAAATGTTGCCCAACGTCGAGGCTTCGTAGAGATTCCAGCAGTCCTTCTGCCCCCTGTGGTCTTCACAGGCCTTGTTTTCTGTTTATGGACTTGGAAATGCTTCATGATGGTCATCTTTCAAAACAAGATCATATATATGCCCGGGATTCCGCCCAACGCGCGAAGGGAGAAGATCTCCGACTACAAGAACCAATGTGCAGGTATCCAGTGGCGAGAGGAGAAGATACGATCGCTCGATAGTACTCCCATTAGTCTGTGTGTAGCAAGTGTGGAAAGCAATGCCGTCGATTTCCAGCGAAGGAAAGATGTGTACATCCTCTACTTTCAGGGTCATTATAATCCTCCGTTGATAACAAGTGTTCTATCGACTCATAATCTGTAGGTAACGCGTCCTCATTGCCCCCTCGACTTCCTTTTCTTTCCCCAGTCCTGCGTTTACTCAGGACAAGAGCAAATGCTTCGGATCTGAATATTCGCTATACCATGGTGTGTTGCAGTTATCGAGGTTATTGGACTTCTGGTGGTCGAGCTACCGAGAAGGGCATCGCTCTGGATGCAGCAGCTTCACTGGGATGGATCAAGCAATTTCATCAGAGTCAGTACAAAACTTACAACGACGAGGTCATTTCAGTCGTCATCTGGGGTCAGAGTATTGGGGCAGGGGTCGCGACAAGTCTGGCTTCAAAGAAAACATTGTTCTCGGATGGACTTAATCTCAAACAATTGATACTGGAAACGCCTTTTCTGAGCATCAGATCGATGTTGGAAACACTTTACCCACAAAAGTGGTTGCCATATCGATATCTTTGGCCCTTTCTACGGAACCACCTTGACAGCGAGACGGCTCTGGGGTTATTACACGCGAGATTTGGAACAAAGTCACCCCCAGTACTCATCGTGGAAGCTGGAAAAGATGAGCTGGTTCCTAGTTCCCACGCAAGAATACTGGAAGAGCGCTGTCTGGACCTTGGCTTGGTCGTCGAGAAAAAAGTTGTCCATGGCGCACTTCATACCGAGGTTTTGGTCCGCCAAGAGGGCATTTCTTCCGTTGCAAGTGCTATTGAGGAAGTTGGGAGGACCCTCAATGATACATCGTGTAAGAATAGCTTGAAAACTCAGGACTAAGTTCAGGTATTTCAAACTGTGCTTTCGCGCCGAAACTTTGTCGCTTTCCAATTTTTACCATCTCGTATCTGTGGGACACCCGAACGCTTGCATACAAAGTCGGGTCTGGATTAAGCTGAACGTTGTTGCGGGCCTGTGTAACGTTATTCACACGTTAAAAAGTACACGGTGGCTGGCGTGTGTCATTTATCCGCTTCCAAGCATGTGCGTCCGTGTAAAGTGTTGTCGGAGCTATCAATAATATGTACCACATTATTACCTAGATGGAGAACTTTCTTCATAGGTATGCTCCTTCCTCGGGCCTTTATATGAAATTTTGGGGGCTTGCGCCGCAAAGCAAACAATCTATCGTGTTTGTATTCCGAAATATATGATCATCGGACCATGGGCACAGCTGCATTGATATAAGGTCGGACCACCCTCGAGGGCCCAGGGAAGGTGGTCTACGAATTTGATTGCTGCACAATAAAGTAGGGAACACAAACTTGTTCTTGAACACCAAGTAAGTACAATTAGGATCTTCCCAAATAGGATAGAAATCATGTAGGAGTATTAACGTAAACACAGTAGGCCCCTTGCCCAAACATGCATTTCTCCAGCAGAGTTTTCATTTTGGCACTGGCATCACTTGCCGAACGCGCTCTAGCATCCACAGTCTACATGCGCAACAACACTCAAGGTAAGTTTTCTTTCCTCAACTGCAAGTCTCTTCTACATTCGAACAAAGACACTGACACTGTCAAGTCGGACTTTCTCCTGACGGTTCATCATACACACGTGTATCCGCCCTCAAGGCTCGCGAAGTCACCTTTGGAAACTGTGGTTGCAACATTATTGCCCCGGAAGATAGGGGTTTATGCGCACGCATCTCATATACGGGTGTTAACGTGTACTTCTACAAAGAAGCGGGATGTAATGGTACGAAGCCTTTGCTGGATTATCGGGGTCCAGCGCAGGATATTTTCACGTGTGGGCAGTCGACTTGGGATAGTTCCAGTATCAGGATCGATTGCTAGGAGATAAAGGTAGAAGGATGGATAGAGACTTGTCCAGGATGGTGTGTGGTTGTTCTGGGATAGAGCTATTAGATCCAAAATTTCTACATATCAGCTTATGCTGGACGTTGCACCTCTTTCAACGTTACACTGACACACTTATACTCTAGGATAGCCCATTCATATCACAGCATCCTCTCGCTAATTTCCTTGTCAACAAATTGTTGTATTCTCTTCTTCATATAGTACGAGATCTGTTGATAACTCGATGGTGACATGGGTCAAATAGTAAATCAAATTCTTGGGTGACTGAACCAGGACTGTAGCAAAGATTAGTTGTCGTTTCTTAGGTGCCATCTATGCTTCACGATGTTCGAAAACCCCTCCAAAAATAAATTAGTTTTAGCGTACGTTGAGTTGCTACTGTTCCCGCCAAAATTTTCTCGTCTTACGATGAGACCAGCTATCATGATACCGCTTGAATGAACTCCAATACCTCTCCACCAGCCACTTGAGAATCGCGTAGATATCATTAGTTGGATTGGAGAACAAAAATTTCATCCAACAACTACGATTCAATGATTAGAGCACGAATCGGCCCAAGAAACTCGGAATGAAGTTACAAGCAGTCAGTCAAGTCGTAGTGAGCAATACCTCAACATCCAAATCCCACCAAATCCCCTCCTACGCCCACCTACACAACCTCAAAACTCGACGGCCCCTCAATCATAACATGCAACACCTTAATCAGTCCCCCCTCAACCTCCGCAATATCACACCCCTTAACCAACGGCTCCCCTCCCTCAGGCCCAAACACCCACTTCAACATCCCCACATTATAACTCACAAACACAGGTCCATCAGGCTTAAACACCCAACCTGGATTCTTGTCGAGTAAGCCTCCGCTGAGCTTGTCGACGGCGTCGTGGCCGTAGGTCGTGGCGTCTGGATCGTGGAATGTAAGGCCGGTGGTGTAGGTTGCTTCGATGGCGGCGCGGCGGGCGAGGGGGTCGCGTTCGTTGAAGACGGAGAGGAGGTTGGATTTCATTAGGGCTGTTATTTTGGAGGGGGTTTCTTTGGGGGTTGTCATGGTGGTGGTGGTGGTGTAATGGAAATTTGATAGTTGAGAATGATCCGCGGAAGTGGTTGAGAGAATAGTATCCAGACTTTCGATGATCTAGTGATGAGTAGGAAACCGTAAGTAGAATTGGGTTCAGAATTCTCTAGTACTTAACAGAATCCATAGTTACCTGTCTGAAGAAGTCCATACTTATATAATATGGTTCTGGACCCTCGATAACCATTGCTGACAACTGCGAATGCAATGAGTTACATCCTAGCAAATCACACACCTTCACAACCTTGAAAGTCTGGAGAAGAGACTGATTAAGCGCATGCATATGTAGGGCTGAGTTCTCTTGCTGTGACTCTAACTTGATAAGGGATTTAATACCCTGTAGATGCAGGTATGACTCCACTTGATTGGATGTAAAGAACGATTGGCTGACACGAAAACACCTTTCGAGGCTTTCTTTCTTAGGTTGAAGACAATGAATGTGAAGCGGGAATTGTCTCTAGATGTACTTCAAATTGCTGATTTTGTAGCTTGTGGGTAGATGCAATTTGAAAAGTATTACTGGCTAATACACAGGCAATTGGTCAGATGCCAGAGCTCTATGCCTTTCAACTGCAAAAGCATATAAAGTCACAACAACCACTAGATTTTCCTCAATCGTACAATGAAGAGCGTCAGAATACCTTATTCCTTTATACGGCCAACAAAAAGTGGTAGCAAAGACGGCATCTAGATCAGCTATTAGATTGAACCGAGAGTAAGAGGAGTAAGACGTTCGATGATCAAAGGTGCAATTAGCTGGTGTAGTAACGGAAAAGCAGGAGTAAATGCAGTAGATATAGGAAAACTATTTAGGGGACGGGGAAATGCTGTCAGAGCAGCCTAACATTCTAAACCCTATGTTGTAACACTTGTTAATTGCTAAACTAACGACACCCGAGGGCTGAACTGACTTGCCGACGCTCTCATAAAAATTAGCAGCAGCTGTTACCGCTGTAGCTTTCCAATTTCCAATTGAGCTTGGATGATGCTTAATGCAAATTCAGAACTTTTAGTTAAACCGTAGGTCAACTTCAACTCTTATTAGTCCCTTATAGTTATCTGGCACCATTCGCTTGAGTGAGAATTGATACCAGAGTTGTTGGCAGAGGCAGCGCAGAGAATCATGAGACAGTAACTTTACTTCGTAAGATTTCACAGAATGATAAGTGTTCAAAAGCGTAGAGCCTCATTTCCTCAACGTTGTCTACAGCGATAACTTAGCCAGCAAGAAACAGCGTCGAGGCAGAGCTTCTCAAGACGGAGCGGTACTTCGTGTATGTAGAGGGACGGGTAGGCTGAAAAGAAACTATGCAGTGCTCAGCATTCAGAACTCTAATTGAATAGCCAGAAACCTTCAGGAGTCCGCTAAAGAAGTCTGGACGCCAACACTTGTTGCAATCGCATCTTTGGAGGGGTGGCAAAGTCTGGACGGCTTCCACGTTTTAGGATTTTAGTGAGGAGGTTGTGCTTGAATCCAAAGAAGAACAATGCTTTGTACAATTCACTTCGCACACTGATCGGCATATGACAGCCCCTTTTTATATTTCTTTTCCTGGATGCCGGTCCCAACTGCAATTGATTGCTCAGGGGTCGGGAGTGGCCCAAAGGTGTAACCGAGAGTTCGGGTGGAAGCCAAGACCAGCCAAAGTTTGTCTTCCCCGAGAACCCTGCCTCCTCATTTATTCACACCATCAGCTCCATGTCTTTTCATAACTGATGTAGTTATGCGATAGTTATACTGCAACTTCGAGTTGAGATTTTGAGAGTTTTGAAACGCCTCAATTCGTGCTTTGCTCTGTCTGCCGGTTGCCTAGTATTCGGGCACACGTCGGACACGCCATACAAAGCATTGCAAGCACCCGCTCCAAAAGGGTACTCATCACATATCGTTTCACAACCACTGCTTCGCACCCCTCTCGGTGGCCGCTTTGGGCGTCGTTAACACCTGAGTTATGCTGGATCAGCATGGATTATGGGCAGCCGTCGCAGCCATACCGGAGGCTAGCCCAGCACGTGAAGTGAGTCAGGTGCTTCCGCGACTGGTTGGCGTAAAGTGGTTTAGGGCCAATGCACAAGTCGCGTCACCCCGAGTCTTGAGTTTGGGCCTCGCGTTTTACCACCTAACCTGGCTGCCCTGTTGGATGCCCCGTCGACAGAAGCATACAAATATCTGCCGTCCCTCCCTCTGGAAATGAACGTTTCTCTTGCTTCTTCCTGATTCCATCATCAGGCACCGACCTCACGACAAATCGACATCTCGCCAACTTCTTTCGACAATCACCACGAATTCGACCACATCGACCGGCTTCCCAAGGAAAACGCAAACTAGCCCGACCGATCGGCATTTCACATATCGAGTACCTCCATCACGATAAGTCCACCGATCGTCGAAAATGTTCAGCAGAAATGTCAACAAGTCACAAACCGAGAGCTTTTCACGAAAGCGCAGAGAAGCAAAAGGAAAGTCATCATTTCGTGATCACGCAGTTTCCAAAAGCCGACATGAGAGATCTGCTGTTCGTAGGCCACCTGGAGAAGGTACCTCTACCCTCGAAAAGTAAGTCTTTATCGCTCGCATAATTGCCTTTATACATCACTCAACAGTAACTGACCACTCTTTTCAACAGTACACTCACAGCCTCCATAATCACACTCGTTGTCGGTCGTGAACAACGCTTATTTGCAGCTCACGAAGATGTGCTCTGTCATTCACCATTCTTCCAGGCAGCATGCCGTGGGCAATTCTTAGAAGCAACAAACAAGCGAGTCACTCTTCCTGACGAAGAACCTGAGATCTTCTCCTCGGTCCTCGAATACTTATACAAGGGCGACTACTATCCTCGACTTATGCATAATAAGCGCAAGAACACATGGGAGCTAGAGACTGCTGAGGGTGGATGCAGCGTTGAGAGCACTGTCTATCATCACGGTGTTGATGGCGAGTTGCTTAAGGATACGGTCATCTATTGCACAGCGGAGAAATATGGCTTGGAGGAATTGAAGCGTGTTGCTTTGAAAAAGCAAGGTCTTCGTAAGTTTCGTCGCTTCTGCAGGGCTTATGTGAATTAACAGTATGTGAACAGAATCTGGCATTCAATGCAGCACAATTCTATCATCCGCCCGATATGCCTACGCTAATACACCCGATAATGATTCGAAACTTCGAGCACACTATCTTGCTCTCATCATCCGCAGTCGAGGAACCTTCAAAAGAAGTGGGACAATGCAAATGGAAATGCAACAAGGTGGCAGCCAGCTGTTCTTCGATTTGTTCGTGGCCTTGTGTAACCATGTTGACGACGTCTCGAGTGTTGCGTAAGTCTTTCCAAAATGTCTCATCAGTCATCAAATTCGCCCTCGATCTCGCGTCCTCGTTGTCGCGACGCATCATTATTTCGATCAAATGCTAACAGATGGAAAAGTGGCTCACCTCGAAGCGTCCGAACGCATCATTAGTGCGTTCAAGACGGCAGTCATCACTATGTTTCGTCTTCTCGCCTCTCACCTAAGCACTTGACGATATGGACGCAACCTTCTTCCACGACACCCTTCTCACTTATACCAGCAACAAAGTACCTTTTCAGTTCTCAGGTCCGACATAATGTTTTGAATTTGCTTTCATTTGATACCATCCCGGCGTCTGGCGTTTTGGGGATAAACTGGGCTGTATCACTACTCTTCTTGTCATATCTTTCACGTCGTTTACCTTTTCCAGCACTGTTTCTAGCAAGAATCTTGTTCTTCCTGTTAGCTTTTTATCTGCTTTATCTGTATCTCATTGGCGCTGGCTCGTTTGTATTTCATCAGTGTGCATCAGATTATATAGTTCCTCCTGCAGAGAAAGCGGTCGAGACGAACAGGAAAAGTAACGTTTGGGAGATTGTGTAGGAAAGACGCAGATTGGATACTACGTTATCATGATATGTATACTTATATTTCTGGCGAGCGTAAAGAGGTTGAGTTGTGATGGGTTTGGCAATATATTATAGAGGGGGTTTTGATTGAGGAGATATGCCAAAGTTTGGTTTCAGAAAGTGCGCAGAAAACTGAGATTTTCAAGATTCAGACATAAGGAGAAGCATCATCATTAAGTAAAGAAAGAAACAGTTTGAGACAAATGAAGAAAAAAATCTAATTCTCAAAATTTGACCGAATTTGAAGATGAAGTCGATTTAATGAAATTTGATATCCCGCAATGGTTCAAAATTTAAACCTCCTAAAAAGACGCTTTCTGGGGATCTCGTACCCTCCAAAATCTTCAACTTCACAAGCACCAGAACGCGAAACTCAAAGCCTACAAAAACCCAATGCAGGCATTCACACCTCATCACAAACTTTCACCAGACTTAACCCCCCTCTTTTCTCTTTTCTTTCCTACCTCCAAGACCCTAGCCTTTCTCCGCCCTAAAAACAGCACTCCACAACCCATCACCCTTTATGTCAAACGGCAAGCACCCTTATCAAACGCAACTGCATTAGCCTTCTCCGTCCCCTCTTTTTACCGTTGTCCCCGGTCAGGAGAGCCGAGGAAGAAGCAGTTCGGTTTTTTGGGGGAGGATGTGATTTGTCAATGGCTTTGAGAAAGGGAGGTAGGGCTTATCGGAGGGGAGGGGGTGTGAGTCAGAGGTTTGTAAGTGTGGAAGTGCTGGGGTAGGGGGGGGTAGGTTAGGACAGGACGGGATGGGAGAGTTTGGATGTAGGGAGGGGGGGGGCAGTGCTAGCGGGGTTTGGAATGGGGGATGCTGGTATGGGTTAGGTTCAGGAGAGGTTTATTTGTCGATGGAAAGGCAGATAGCAAAATATCAAAATTGATCTGCCCTGTGAAGATGCGTGAAGGCTCCAGAAAGTAGTCGTCACAGCCTACGGGCAAAGGATCGTGCGAACAAGAAGACATGTGGACAATGTGTGACTGCAGACTCGGTGAGCCAAAATGAATTATTGATATTGGCTCTTAAGGTGATTCGCTACCGGACTGTGACTCGATCACTGCTGTACTCCTCTCCTGTCTCGGCCGAATAAATGTAGCTTCGCCCCCTCCGCTGCACCTCCGTAACTCTATTTTCTTCTTAAATCTTCTTTCCCAACAGAAATATTCCGTGTCATATGTCTCGCCTCACTTACAACAGCGTTGCGGAAATGGTCAGTGTCATGGTATACACCAGTCGTGGTGCTCCTCAGCCGACTGCCGATTAAATCTTTAGACACCCGTTCCAGGGAAAGCGCCGCCTTTGCTAAGCACAACTATACCACGATCCCTAGCTATGTATCCCTTCATGAGGTTCTACAGTAAAACAGAGTCAGCTTTTGAGTCATCGTGGGTAAAAGAATTGGTGGCACCGCTGTTCCGCGTGGTGAGGTGTGAGCGGAGGCGATAAGAAAGGGGCTGCCTTGCGAGGGAGGCCACAAGCGAAAATTATCAAATAGCAGTACCAAAACGCTATACAATAACTAAATGAAATTATGTGATGAAACGTACCTTGTAAATCATGTTTGCTAGAAGACATTCAACTTCATCATTATCCATCGTCTCCTTACTACCAATACTGATAGCGGCACCAAACTCGGCAACAGGAACCCTAGTTTTTCGAACCTGTGGTGCACCAGGCTCTTTGGCATCCTCAAAGCCGCCCGCAATGAACACTTTGCGAAGAAGGTTGCGTAAGGCTACATCGCGGCCACGTTCGAGTGTTAGGTAGATTCGTCGCTTAACAAACTCGTCTTCGCCAGCTATCAGCGCTGCATCGAATCCTGATAGGTCGCCCTTTTTGATGCAACGAGACAACGGGAGGAAAAGCTTCTGTAGCCGTGGATAGGGCGAAAGTAGGGCGAGAGTGGGAAGGGTGTGCGTGGTTAGAAGATGGCATGGGATCAGGTAGGTCAAGATGAGTCTATGGGTTGTAAGCACATATCTGGATATTGTAGCTAGTGTGGGGTCTTTTACTCACTCTTTATTGCGGATCGAGTCTTTGTGACATAATGTCCAGGCTTCTGTAAGATTCTTCTCTGACTGAATAACACCGTTAATTAAAGCATGACGGTGATGAGTTGACTTTCTTACCTCGACATAATTCTCTTCCAAGAAGTAGATGACTCCGACATAATATTTGAATGTCACTTGATGTGCTAGCGGGAAGCTTTCGAGGGGTGGCATATCCCCTCTGTAAGCTCGTATCGCTTTCAAAATGTTCTTTGAGAGACTTATCGAGTTCAATTTGAAATATGTTTTGAACAACAGGTTGATAATGTTATAAATTCCCCACTTTCTCGATTCTTCTAGAGATGCTCTGACTTCGTGTCAGCTATGATTGATACAAATGACTGAGATGGGACATACCGGTCGCTGAGGCAGAGATTGAAGATTCGATTCAATTGCCTAGCGGCGTCCTCGAGCTTCTCGTTTTTCTCCGAATCAGGATTGAAATCATCCTGAAAGGTAGCTGATACAGCCTGGCTGCTGGCCGCTCCTTCATCTGCCTTGATCGCAAATACTCTCAGATATTTGCCTACCACATAGAGACATGGTATAGTCCAGGAGCCAAAATTACAATTCATGTAACCGCGGTGCAGCATATTCGTCAGCTCTTTCCAAGCTTCATACACCTTCATCCACGATGCCTAGAACCACGGTTAGCTCCGCACAACATTGATTAGCAGATAGTAGGGTAAGTGTATGTCGCTCACGTGAGCCTAGAGCACCAGTCGCCAGAGAGAGAGACAGAAGTGAAAAGACTAGGTACTGGCCATTGTTGGCCTAGCCATATGAGATGATGCCGGTAGATGCAAAGAGATATATTCACCTTATGACCCGAATTTGCTGCTGCTTCTGCGATTTGAATCTCGCCAACAGCCTTCCAGTAAGCAACGTATACCTCTACCCAGCCATTGCCTTCGTCCGCCGGAAGCTTGAAAGGTGCAGAATTGTCGTACAGAATTTGGTATTTGAAATCTTTTTGCACATTTTGAAAGTTTGTGCTTCGATAAAAATTGCGAAGTCTTTCTGGTTGCGACGGAGGAGAAATTGGAGAAAGCGTTTGGGCGAGACCATAGCCGTCACCCACCTCATAGAACTTCCGAAAGTCTCCAAATATGAGATCCATTATGAAATCTCTATCTTGATGATGTGAACCTCTAGCTTTTGAACCTTTTTGAAGGATTTATCAAAGTATTCTTTCCGTTTGTAAGTGAGAGTCCTGAGGATGGAGCAAGGAATCAAGAAACGTCTCGTCGCATTCTGTATAGATGAAGCAGCATCAGCTAAGTAAAATGAGTCGCACTCAGACACTCATTTGACGACAGCTCGCAGGTATCATGTCACAAATTCATTGATGATTGTTATGTACCTAAAGGTGTTTACTTTCCAGCAATGTGACAAGCGGCTCAAGATCCATTCTCGCGCTAGGTCAGTTTGGGTGGGTCCAGAGCAGCCCCACTTCTTCAACCACTCATAGCGACTCGCTACCACCGCGCTCCCACAATCTGCTTTTGATTTTCTTGAAAATACTCCTCCAACATCTGAATCGCGACAATTTAACGACAACAACCACGGCCACAAATTCACAGTAAGTCATCTGCCGCCTGCCAGGCCAAAACATCTACTAACATCTACAAGATGGGTAAGCTATAGTTCTCCTCATCTCCTTTTGTCAAGCCGAATTGCGATCGCCATATCCGGAAAAGAAAAAGGTCCCCGCCTACAATGGTTTACGAGATGACAAACGATCCGACTGATGGAGTGCAATGTGATCAATGCCTATATTTGAGGTTTGAGGAGGGACTGGGTCTAACCTTAAGATCACTGGGGATACCGGCAACAATAGATCAACGATGGTGGAATTCGAGGTTCGAGGTTTAGAGAATTCTAGGCGAATCGATCAACCCGTCAACATGGCTATGGGCGCTCCCTCGATGGTTACAAGCAAGCAGCTAGACACCTCTAAACTGAAAATCCGCGGGAGATATTGATCATCAAAAAAGAATGTCGACTGACAGTTCACACTAGGTCGTCTTACAGAGTATCAGGTCATTGGCCGCCATTTGCCAACAGATGCAAACCCAGCTCCTAAGCTCTACCGCATGAGGATCTTTGCGCCAAACACCGTGGTCGCCAAATCCCGCTTTTGGTACTTCCTGATGAAGTTGAGAAAGGTCAAGAAGGCGAACGGAGAGATCGTCAGCTTGAACGTGGTGGGTAAAATTGTTGCAACAGATAGGAAAACATACTTATGGCACAACTTAGATCCACGAGAAGCGCCCATTGAAGGTCAAGAACTTCGGTATCTGGATCCGATACGATTCCCGCTCCGGAACCCACAACATGTACAAAGAGTACCGTGAGATGTCAAGAACTGATGCAGTTGAGGCTCTCTACCAAGATATGGCCGCCAGACATCGATCCCGTTTCCGGTCCATTCACGTATGTGTCTAAATCCCCGGAAGTACATGGCCAATAACTGACAAAATTTCGAATAGATCCTCAAGGTTGTCGAACTCGAGAAGAACGACGACGTCAAGCGCCCATACATCAAGCAACTCCTCACAAAGAACCTCAAATTCCCTCTTCCTCACCGCGTTTCCAAGGCTGCCGGCACCAAGATCTTCGTCGGAAAGAGACCATCAACCTTTTACTAAGCGTTTGGGAGGAGTGTTGGGGCCGGGGTGATATTCATAAGGTTTTTGCACGGCATTAAGGGTTGTTTTTTAGCCTTTGCTCAATGAGCCGGTCGAGCATGAAATGCATGAAGCACTTGATCATAAATTTGGGCCTGAAAAAGTGATATCAGTTGTGCAACTAGAAATGAATCTCATCAAATAATGAATTTATGAGCATATCTTTACAGGGTGAACAAAGCTCGACGTTGATGCCTAGGTATGTAGAGGAATAAGCCTAAGTGGTAGGTCAAATCTTGTTCATTGCGGTGGCCACCTAGGAACTCTCAATTCTATTAAGAAATCTCTAGCGGCTTTATACCTTCAACTCCCTTAATGAGTTTCCACTATTCCAGAACAATATATGAGCAACTTAGCCTCGAAACAGATCCCTCGGACGCCTGATTATCAATCTTGATAGCCTGTAACACAACACTCTGTATTAGAGCACACCCGTTTCACGCCAACCATTCATTCAACAGCAACCACAACTACCGCCAGTCCAGTAAAGCTTCCGAACCTTCCGAATTATTCAATCCTTCCTGTCGTTCGGCCTCCTCTTTAACGTCAAATCCAAAGTCAGGCACCCCCCCAAAGCAGATTCCTAATATCCATTCTCCTACCCTTAAGCCAACGCAGAAAACTCCACAGTAAGTAGACGCACAGTACAGGAAATTCCCCTGTCAACATGTGACGGAATTGATGTGAAGGATCAATAGATAGCAACTACGTGTCAAATCCAGAAAGACTAAAACATCAAAAGGGCAAAAACTTCTTGCTATGACCATATCAATATTTTGACGCTTCTACAGCTTGAATCTCAGCCAGCTGTTCTCTGATTAACTTCTTTGCAGCCTTCTTTTCCTCACGCCTCCTTTTTTGACCTTCGCCACCATTTCCTCGATTGGCGTACTGCTTTTTAACACTCTCTGGGAGCGGAGATCCAGCGAGTTTACATAGAATGACTACCAAGGCTTGTTGTTTATCATCCAACCCGTGAGCCATTTCGGCGTCTTTCACAGCAATCATCAATAGTGATCGCAAAGTATAGGTTGCGTCATTTCCTGCGACATGTAGGATTGAAGGTACATGAGGTATCTCGAGGATAGTCAGAAGAGTTTCCAGAGAAGGTCTTGCTGTTAATCCGAGAGGATTCTGTGCGGCTTTTTGAGTGTCTATTATGTAGAGGGGTTGAATGGGTATCTGAAGCCTTTCAAGGAATCGTAAATCATTTTCTCCTCCATGGACCACAAGAACAACGTGTCTTCCAGATATCAAAGCCTGAATAGTTGTCCTCATCTCCTCTATCTTCATCTCTCTTGCGTTTCCAAATATTTCCTTTCTACGCTCTTTCAAACAGTCCATCGACGGTCCAGTACAGAAACTGCAGGTCCGGATGGCATCTTGGATGTCCGCTCCTCCATCACGGAACTGGCTTTCGGCGAGATCTTTCAGACGTCGGGTGTCCAAAACCGATATCCCTAGTCGGAATCCTAGAGGCGCGGCAGGGCTGCAAATTTCTCCTTCGAAGTCAAGAGCGAGAAGCAGGACGTCTTTGATAACTGATCGTACGTGGCTCGGCGTCCCGTCAGCAGAGAAAACCAGATCTTGCCCGTACAATCCGAGGAGATCTCTGAGTGCAAATGTCTCCTCACGCATGACACCATCCGGGGGGATCCGGTTTGCCATTTCAACTAACGGACCATTTTCGACATTTATTAGAAACTCAGCATTCATGTTGAAAATAATAAGTCGTTCCTAGGACGTCGATGTCGTATCTTGTCGTGCTGTGGATATATCAAGATTAGCTTTCCTTGAATTTGGATATATACTGGTAAATTATGTAGCATATTTGTGTGCTTAGAGATGGACGTAGGTTATAAGAAAATGGGAATGGTGTGGTTAGTACACGGCATGACGCAGAATCTAAGAGCCGTCGCTGGTAGGAGTACTACTACACCATTAGTCCTACTCGAATTTCTGGTCGAAACTTCATCGAGATCCAAGTGGGGTATCGTCCCAGCTTCCCGCTGCGTCGAACTCATGCTCTGAGTCAAAAAGGTACTGAGCGTCAGGAATTAGGGAAAAAAGCTGCGAATTTTATTGAAAGTTGACTATTCTCAGCCACATATTCGATTCTCATGTTTCCCGGGTTTAAATGGACGGTTTTTATGAATTAAGCTCAGTAAACCTGCAGCCCAGTCATCGAGTCACTCGTGGATCTGTGATGAGCGACAGCTCGTTGTGGTAACTTGTGGGTTTGGGGTTCTCTGTAACGATCACTAGGAGAGATCAACGTTGCAATATGTTACTGAGATTGTAGGTTCGACATAACTTATTCTTTAGTGTTACAAGAATCAAATGATATAGAGAGGGGAACGAATCTTGGTGGAGGCCCGCGTGCTGAACAACACTCCGTGATCGGGCCGAGGTACCCGCACTCGTGACTACGCGATCAACCTCAATAAACGCGTAGCTACTCAAATGAATCGACGGGAAGTTGCAGGAGCGTATTGACACGAATTCAAGTTATTCTTTTCTTTTCTCTGCAATGGGCTTTTACAGGAACCCGCCACAATGTCTGCCACAATGGACGACGCGATGCAACCCCCCAAAATTCCTCGAACCCAAACTTTACGGGAGATGGTAGAAGAACGACTGGCCCTCAAAGCCGAACAGAGGAGATTGGAAAATGTCGCGCTGGAAGCGGCCGCAGAAGAGGAGAACACACAAGGCCTCACCACCGACGATGCGACCATACCCACGCCTGCAAAGCTTGTACCTCACGAAGTGCCAGTGAGAAGTGAACACCAAGCAAGCGAGATTCCGCGAAGAAGAAACACAGAAGCAGCAGCCCGAGAAACTGACGATGCTCTCCTGCTTACCACACATGCGCCTAAGGAACTCCAGAAGAACCAGCATTTGCCGCCCATTTCACAACCAAGCAGGTCACAATCGAACCTAAAGCGAACTGCTGCCGAGAGCTTATCCGTACCGAATCAAGAAGTTATTCCGCGCAAAAATCCACCACCGAACTTTGCTGGCCTGAAATCAGCTAAAAAGCGAAAGCGAACAGGTACTTCACGAAGCTCGTTATACATGTCTTGATGCTGATTTCTTAGATGACGCAAACAGTCCTTCAACCGATCCCATTGGTGGCCCAATAGCTTTGCATGAGAGCAGCCCATCATCTGTAAATGCTCCTAAGAAAGCTTCAAGGAGTAAAATCAAAGCTACGTACTCCAGTTACGAAATTATCGACTTGAGCAAAAGATTGCCGGAATGGTATCAGGACCTGAAAACTGTCAAGCAGAGACTCGCACGTGGAGATTTGGAATTATTAAGGGGCGTTAAAGATAACATTCAACGCTGCATTGAAAACAAAAGTAAAGTAACTCTGAGACAGTGCTTTTCAGAGTTGAGGGTCAGAATCAGCGACATGCAATTCTATGTTTTCCTTACTCCCGGTGCGTCAGGTGGCGCAGGGCTCGCGCCCTACTTGATCAAAGAGTCTAAAATCCTCGAGGACGGAGGTCTGCCGGTCATTTTCAACCGTAGTGATAGCGGATTCTTCCCATTCGATATTCGAGCAGATGCGGAGGCCATTTGGACCCGTGTAGGTTTCCCGTTCTGTTTAGTCTTATCCAACCCAAGTTGCTGAGTGAATCCAGTGGATGCGTGGAGACTTCGATCCAAGTCTTTTGAGAGGCGTCGATCCCGCTCACGGGGTTCTCCAAAAATCCGGCAGGAAGCGCACAGCATACAAACTGACTCCAGGCTATCAACACAAAATATCTGCCAATGTCTTCGGAGCTAATGGCCTATTCAACGGGCAGTGGTGGCCCTCAAGACTATGCGCGCTTAGAGATGGGGCTCACGGTGAAGTGGAAGCTGGTATTTGTGGTTCAGCAGATTCAGGAGCTTTCGCGGTTGTAGTCTCACAAGGAGGCTACGCAGATCAAGATAATGGCGACGTAAGTAAATTCGAGAGTTTGAAAGACAATTGTTATCAGTGCTGAAACTACTCTAGACTCTTGAATACTGTGGCACTGAAGGAAAGAATGGCGTTGTTTCAAAGGGCACACAATTTCTCCAGCATACTCACCGCAAAGGAGAAGTATTGCGTGTGCTTCGGGCCCCTAAGAAAAACTCGGTCTATGCACCAAAATCCGGCGTTCGATATGATGGGTTGTACAGGATCGTGGATAGTAAAACTCTCGATCCTATCAACGTTATGATTCGCTTCACGTTAATCAGAGTTGAAGGCCAGGATCCTATTAGGTGCAGTGGGGAAACTAGTAGACCGACATCGAAAGAGGAGTATGAGATGTCCAAAATTCGTAGCTATCTTCAGTGAGCTACGGGGTGTACATGTAATGTATAAATAGATGATGGGCTCTGGCGTATATTGGTGGATTTTTGAAAGGATGGGACTGCATTTACCGGTTCGCGGAGATATACCATACTTAGAGCATATCGAGGTCGTATTTAGTGAGCGATACAAGCATAAATACAGAAGCGTTAATGCGAAAAGATCGATTGTGTTCTTCATGACTTAGTAGTTTAGGTCCTTTCATGTCAAATCAACGGCAGATTTAGCAGACATTAAATCGATTCAAAGTGCGATACAAAAGTCCTTGCACTTTCTTATACTTATAGCCGTCCCTCATGTAGGCCCAGCATAACTATGTTATGTAGAAGTGAATTGAACGCGATGAAACATGAATCTGAAAAGATAGCAATGTTTATTTGATATTTAAGAAACATCCCTAATTGAGCATATCTCCAACTCGCTTAATGGTCCCTCGTAGTCCTTTCAATCTCCATGCTTATTTTTCTACATAATGTACTCAAGATGTTAAGAATCCAAGGTATAAGGCAGATGTTTTCCCAGTGGTACCGACTCGCACCACATATCTGTGACCTTCTCCCGTTGTTCCATAACGCCTTGACCAGTTTTCTCGTTAAATGAGCGCATAGTAATAAACAAGTTTCCAAGCATCGGATAACAAGCTGTAAAATTTCCCGTTCCAACCTGATCTTGCTCCACTGTGAAATTGGAAGCCCAGATTCCCGGATTGGGTTTATGAATGCTCGCGCGGGGGATAGTCGAGACTATACAATCAGTGGGGTCTCTTGATAATGGACGGTAAGGATGTACAAATCTTTGTGCCACATCTTTCGCCAAAACGATTGACGATGACTTTCTTTTTGATGTGTGTTACGGAATCCTGGAGTTGGATGTGTGTCTCATTGCCCGGCTGGTCAAGACAGTCATTTGGGTCTAAATCCCAACTAGTCATGTCGACACGATCGAAGGGGTGCGTTGTGATCGTAAGTGTTACGAGTCCCAAGAGAACGAGGAAGTTGTACATGATGTTCTGCATCTTTGTGGTTTGCATATCATAGAGTTGACAAAATGTTTTTCTGTGGAGTGGAGTGACGATGGATTGGATGAAGCCTTTTCTTGTGGAAGTTATGGCAAATAAAATCTCTGTTGGAAGTTGCAAAAAAGGTAATAGTCGCCGTAGTAGGCTAAGGCTATTTTAACCCACTTGGGTCGAAGCTCCATGAAATAATTTTGCCTTTCTATTCGGTTAGGGTTCTTGAGGTCTCTGATAAGTGAGCTTCTTGCAAAAAGGGGTAACTCGGCTCTGGGAGAAACTCGCTTAACGCAATTATATATCTAAACGAAGGAGGTCAGCGGATCTAAGTTTTTAACCGAGTCCGAATGAAGAAAGATGATTGAAACTATCAGTCATTTCGGGATCTAATATCAGTATGCTAAGCTTTCCTAGACTGGATTAAATAAGTATTCATGCATGAAGGAAAATAAGGACGCCAGCTTGGTAATGCTATGGACAGGTGACGGTGTTCTTAAACTTTCATGAATTCACCGTGCTAATATGAGAAGTGCTTGGAAGGTATTCGATCTTCACATACCTTTGCAAGTGTTTGACATTACGTCTTGTAGGCGGATTTGTACAATCCGATGGGATTAACTTTGGAATGTTACGGAGGTCTAATCAAGTTACCCCCCTTTTTCCTTTTGGCGACACCTATTGACTTGTAGTGTGCCGATCAAAATACTTTTTGATTAGAAAATGTCAACTTACCTGACTATACCACCAGTGTGTTGCAAATCTGACAGAACACCCCCTTGTGGTGGAGGAACATTACACTACCCAAACAGCTATATTTGCTCAATTTCTTTGAGTTAATATACAATATCGACTCTATTGTGAAGTGTAATAAATATACCTAGTTATAAAAGCGAGCTGGGAAGTCGTTTTCTAGCATTGACACACTACAAGGGTGTCCCGTCAGTCTTGCAATGCACTGGTGTACATAAGATCAAAAGTTCTCATAGTGGTTGGAATGTCTGTAGGAGTGAACCGGATCAAAATTCAATCGATGTTACTCGCAGGGTTCTAGCTACGTGGGTGCAATTGTGTTAAGAAAGCTCAGTGCCGTTTTATTAAGTCTGATATAATTCATCATTTTGTAAAATTACTAGTATTATTGAGGAAAGTAAATTCTAATTCTACTAGAAAGTGACTAGCCATCATTATACGGATATCATCGTTCAGTTGATCCCGATATTTCACGTAAATTGTTGATTATAAATACGGCCTGAAATAGCTTATTAGCTCCAACGCATACGCAGCTCCATTTTCAATTCCAATCGTTCTGTCCAATGCGGCCACGTAAAATCTTATTTCAGGCTTCACCTATCGATTCGCCAAACATTCATCTAGCTTAACCCGGAAGTTTGAGGTGTACAAGTCGTTACTGTAAGAGTCATTGTGAGATCAACAGTAATGGTAACTTGAGAAGTGATGGAGGCTATGGCCATCGGTGTGGATAGAGTTGAAGTGGAAGAAGTTGAAGTTGATGTGGATAAATTTAAAGTAGGCTGTGTCGAAGTGGAAGATGTTGAAGTAGAAGATGTCGAAATGAAAGAGGTCGAAACGGAATATATCGAAATGAGAGATGTAGGAGTGGAGGATATCGAAGTGACAGAATTTGAAGGAGTCGATGTGGAAATGGAAGATGTCGAGATTCTAGAAGCGGTGGATGTAGGTACTGTCGACGGCCGCGAGCGGCCTGATTCCTTGCACCAATGATAAGCAACTTTACTGAGTTGCCAAAACTCTCCTATCAAATGTCGTCTATCAGAGTGAAGTTTGACCCATTCTCCAATATTTGTAGAGTTTGCAGATTCAAAGAAGTAGTTATTAACCTTATCCGGGTCGAGGTTTCTATTGTCAGTGGTAAAACTGTTTGCCTCATATCCAACATCTCCTTCCACTTGCTCGTCTGAAGAGGATGGTTCGGTTATAAGAGAATAACACATATATCAACGGTCAAGAGTTGCCACGTACGTCTACTGTTATAGATAGACTGTCAAAGTACAGGGAACACTATCTCAAAACCCCAATCTTGTTACTTCTGTTAAGTGTATCTTTCGCTCCTGGCATTTTATACACAGCTGCGGGACAGTGATTTGAAAGGATAGGAAAATGGTCAAGCCGAGTCACGGCACATAAAAATAATGACTTGCAGATGTATACCCTAATCGGATGCAAGGGGAGGCGGGGAAGATTTCTCATGCAGCCAGCAAGGTCAGGGTATATTGACCCGCGCGGCGTGATTGGCGGCCATTTGGAAATACATATGAAAGCACTAATCTGGAGGGGATCGACACACCTCATCGGTCATCTACTGACGCTGTATAAGGCCGTGTTTACTCACCTGACAATTTGACAATAATTGTCAAATTGCCAGATTTAAGCATTAGGCTAGTAGGGGGTGATTTTTAGTCTATTCTTCTTTAGTATATAGGTAGGAACTTGTCTCTACGACGTGTAGTAGCGCTAAGTCTAGTAAGGGTGTAACCTTATCGTCGCCTCTCGTACGTTATAATTAAGATTTCTTTATAATTAAGATTTCTTTATAATTAAGACTTCTTTCTTATTAATTAATTATTAAGTAACTATAGTACCTAAGAAGAAAGTAAATACGAATAAAGCCGCTCCTAGGAGGGTATCGAAAGCGGCGGTAGAGACTAGAACCCGTAAGCTGTCTAGGAAGGCGCTTAAGGTACTTAAGAATAAGGGTTATAATAAGGTCGAGGAACCTAGCTTAAATAATAAAGATACTACGTAGTCTTATTATAATAACTCCTAACCTAGTCTTTATTCCTTTACCGAAAATTATCGCTCTCTCCTATCTAGTCCTATACTATTACCTCTACTTAGATCTAATACTTAAGATCTAGAGCCTTAAGATACCTAGGAATTATCCGCTAAGAGTAATAATATCGTTTAGACTTAGGATATAGTTCTCGCTATATATACTACCTTATTAGACTATATTCGAAAGGGTAAGAAGCTAGATATTAGGTTTAAGCTAGAGACGTAGTAAGCGGTAGTACTTATAGTTAAGGAGGTATATTTGGGTTAAGGTATAGTTACGGCTCTTAAACTTAAGAGTAAGGAGAATATAGAGAGGTATTATTATCTTAATCTATAATAGATTAAGAACTAATCTAGATAGGGTTAGAACGATAAAAAGAACGTACCTAAGGTCGTAGATAGGGTCTAGGATAAGGCTTAAAAAGTAAGGGTTTTAAATAAAGATCTATCGCTTAATAATTAACTTATATACTTAATAGTTACCTTTATAGAAAAGGATTAAGTACTATAAGAAGAACTCGTTTACGTACTACGATATATTAGATAAGATCTACGAGAATAGGATTATAACTAGAGTCTACGTAATCTACTTCTCTCGTTAAAATAGAGGTATAGATAACTCGAAATAATATCTCGACAAAGACCTCGATTTAGACGATTCTTTCCTTAATCTAGTACTCTATACTTTAACTAGACCTCCTACTATAGTTCCGGATCTTATACTATAACGAAATCATAGTAGAGGACCTAATACTTTAGCTCTTATTAGTTTAAGAGTATAAGCGTCTAAAAAGAAGAAAGACTCTATTAATAAGAAATTCCTAGAGAAGTATACTTAGAACTAGATTTTAACTCGTAAATACTAGGAGAGGGTTCTTACTTAAATATAGAAAACTAACGCCCTCTAAGTTAACCTTTAAACGTCCCTTATAGTAAAGGCTTTAAAGGAATTATAAGACAAATATAGTAATAGATTAAACGTAGTCTAGATAATTAAAGCTATTAAGTTTCTAATAAATTCTAAGGTAGCTTAAGTATTTATATTATTAAGAGGCGAGATTTAATAACTTTAGTTATAATACTTTAGTAAGCTATAGTTTCTTAATTAGCGCTATATAATAATAGTAATACTATATAGTAATACTTAGAGTTCTAGAATTATCTATAATTTATAATTTAATAACTAGTAAAAAATAAAAACTAGTTATCTATAATAAAAGTAAGATCTTCTTCTATTATCTTATTCTCTTTCTTCTTATTATTACTAATTAGAACTAAAAGCTTATCGTCGGTATTCTCTATATTACTACTCTCTTCTTTGTCTATATTATTATCCTCTATCTTAATATTATCGTCCTCCTTATTATTCTCTATATATATCTAAATAAAGTTAGGGTTATAAACCTACTAAGTAAATATAGCTAATTCTTCTTCTAAAACCCTAATAGCTATACTACTACTAGCTATAATCTCTACTTCTAATCTCTCTACTAAAGGGACTATATAGTCTATAAAGACCTTTTTAATTGTACGCTCTTTCTTGTCTTTATTATTATTATTATTACTATCCTTAATAATAGTATACTTTTTACTCTATATAATACTAGTTAGTAACGCTTTATAGTAACGCTCGCGATATTAATATATTTATAAAAGTACTTATATAAGCTCCTAGGTTCTTCTTTAACTCCTCTATCTTCTTATCTTTAATAGCTTATAGCTTAATACTTTTCTTATTAATATAAATAGTTATTTTTAAATTAGCGTCCTTATTATTACTACGGCGAGACTCTATAATAGTATTCTCTACGGCTTTAATTATAGTATCTTAATTAGCTTTAGAGAGATTTTCGAAGCTAGGCTTAGATTTTACGACGGCTTATACGTAGGACTTTACCGAATAATCGGCCTACCTTACTTACTTAATAAACTTAGCGGTTTTTTTATATATTTATTAGCGACGAGCGTCAAAAGAAGATATTTTAAAAGTATTTAGAAAGGTAAGCGTTACTAGTAGGCGTTATAGTTAGAATAATAGAGCTTAACGACGATTATTAAGGAAAACCGATAACTTTATAGAAAGAACCTATATTTTATAAGATTATTAGAAATATCGAGATATTATATTAATATACTATTATACTTTCTATAAATCCTTCTATTATATTATAAATTAGCTATTATTAGAAATTTAAGCGAGAGTTAGAAATTTATAGTATAATAAGATAATTTATAATATAATAGAAAGATTTATAATATAATAGAATAATTTATAAGATAATAAGATAATTTATAATACTATCTTATAATATATAAAGGTCGACCCTCTCTAAGAAAACTAGAGCTCTTTACGCTCGATAGTATCTAATCTATAAGTTATCTATCTAAGAAATAGTAACGTTTAATAGTAATACCTAATAGGTTCTAAAGCTTTAAATCGCTAGAATAGTATATAAAAAGAATTAACTAAAACGAATTCTAAAGGTATAAGTATATTATAATAACTATTATATAAAGGTAGAAAGTAAGTAATCCTTAATAGTAACGTAGAATAGTAACGTCTAACGTCTCTAAAGCTCGAGTACTTCGCAAAATCTAATATTACTAAAAGGCCGAAGGCTACTTTCTCTCTAAACTCACCTTCTAACGTCTAGTTCGTAAGATTACTTAGAATATTTATATAAAATTCGATATATAATTCTAAAGTATAGTTATCGAAATACTTTAAGAGGTATTAGAATATTACTTAGTAGTATACTTCGAAGATATAATTCTTTTTTCTAACTCGATATATTCTAAAAACTAATATAGTAATAAAATAGCTATAAATATATATATAATTTATATAAAGCGTATTACTATTTAGTAAAAAGATATACGATTAGTCTATTAGTTTTATTAGAGTAATTTAGTTACGTAAGGAGTTTAAAAGATATCTTAAATATTATAATTAAATTTATTACTTTTTCTATCTATTAATAAAATATTAAAATAATAACCTCTTCTAATTATAATAGTAATACTAGATAGTAACGCTATTAAACTCCTTTCTTTAAGAATCGTATAATTTCGCTATAATTCTAATATATAATAGCTACTTTCTTATAGGTCTCTATTTAAATATAACTAATAATCCTTCTATATCTACTAACTAATTACGTCCCTTAACTTATCTATCTTTTTATTTCTACGTTATACTCTACTATTTTAAGTATTAATTAATTCTTTATTATTACTACCCTCGATTTACGGCTCTATACTATTCTTATTCTCTAGATTATCTACTCTATTACTCTCTTACAATTAGATAAAATTATAGAGCCCTAATAGTACTAGAACTAGGTAGTTTTAGGTGTCGATCGAGTACTCCGTAATAGTACCTAAGATCTTAAACTTTCTCTTATTTATACCGAATATTCTCTCTACTACGTTTCTTATTATTATATACCTTAAGTTAAAAAGCTCTTACGCGTTCTCTAGCTTACAGCTTACTAACCGATTCTCTACTAGGTAATATTGTACGCTATAGTAGGGCGCTATTACGAACTTAGAATTAGCGTACCTAGCGTCCCCGAGTATTACGGGAAAGCTATATATATATAAGGGCTTACTTGTAGGATTAAATAAGTTCGATAAAGAAGAGAGAAGAACTCTACTTAGAGCCCGCCTTTTATATATAGAAGTACGGCGCTTAGTAGTAGCGCTTTATATAGCGTATTAGGGTAGGGCCCTCGCTTAGTAAGTACTAGTACGTATAGCTAGTATTCTACCCCTAGGGTCTAAACCCTTATATTACCCCTCTTCTCTTATCTATAGTCTATTAGTATCTATATTTACTACTAGGTTATTCTATTAGTAGTCTTCTCTTAAAATAATACTTTATCTAACGTATATTTGTTAGATTTTATTTTCTCTCTATAGTCTAAAAT